GGAAACTTTGAGCCATAGTTAAGGAAATTATTTTGTAACCTTACAAACTTCCTCTCGTTCATTGGTGTTAATTCAGGATACATTTAGTTGAATTTTTTACACGTTCTGACAATGATTTTATCACTTTGTTCATGTGTATAATAAATAATTTCATAAGATCTTCGTTTGAAAAATCGATATTTGCATTCATTTTGGAAGATGATTCGAAATAATGTAATATAACAGAGAAACTATTAGAGAAATGACAGAGAATGCTCTATGTAATGAGCAATGAGTTTTATGAGAGATAGAGAACAGTAAAAGGAATTATAAAACAGAATAATGGGACAGGATCCAGAAAAACGTGAACCAATAAAATTAAAAATTATGAAGAGGAATATCTGTTGTTTCTTTTAGATTATCTAGTGACGGATTGTGACATCTATCAATTCTACTTTTTGTGAATTGAATGCACTTAGGCCAATGATTTATTTACTATTCTCTGTGGTTTTGTAGATTGATGTTTCCCTATTGTTTCTTTTTTTTCATTTCATCGCCTAGTAATTCGTCTAAATTTATGAAGTGACCAATCAGATTCAAGACTTCTTCAGATAACTGTTGTATTCACAAGATCTGCGAGAAACTAAAGTATCTCATTGAATGAAATATTTGTAAATATGTTCCTGGTATCCTTTTCTTCAAGATTACAAAAAATTTACATGGAAAAAAAGAATTTTTTACTTGCAAGAATTGCAGGGTTGAAATTTTCAATCTTCGCAGATTCATGGACGTCTGAATTTATATTACTGGTAAGTCTGTGATATTGTGTAATTTCAAAGTACATGAAGTTGATGTTTCTCCAAGTATAAATATGGCTTTCATTCTACAGAGACAGTGTTTCTATTTTTATTTTTCTACTTCCTAGAAAGGTGAATCTGAAAATATATCAAATGATCACACGAAAGATTTCATACCAAAAACTTAGGTAAGAACTGATATTATGTTGAAGCAAAAAGCAAGAATCAGCTTCAATAGTTCAAAGGTTTTACCATATAGCTCCTCTTCAACGTGAACTAAAATCACTGTCTTAATGCAAAAAATATATAGGCATAAAAGTAACATGAAACATATCAGGAAAACTCTGGAAAAATCACAATTAAGGTTGGGTATTTAAGCCAACGAAAATCATCAGAGAGAGTGTAATGTAGCCAAAGACTCTATTCAGCTTCTTGCAATAACAGTCAGACTATATATGGTGGTATTAGAAATTCACCAACACTAACAAAATGTTGATAGAGAATATAAGTAAAATGAGTATTTTTCCTTACTCAAGCTTAGCAACTCATAGGTCTGGCCATAGATAGAAGGACACCAAGCATCCAAACTTCAAAGTATTGTATAATGTTGTATCAAACGCTCATCAATTCCTGGAATGAAGAATTTATGTTTTGTATCTCTGATGATAACATTAATGAAAGTCGAAACGTTGAGAATACATTTCTATTTTCTATGCAATTCGACCCTATTCCAACCATTCTCATTTGAATCACCAAACTACTGAGACAGGAAAATCATACTCTCAGAGGTGTATATTCGAACGAATTTTTGCTCGATCAGTTGACTTCGGAGCAACTCCATGAATGGACTGATCAAATGCTGGACCTGGACGGCAATATTGATAAACTGTCTTTGTCATTTATTTCTAGGGGCCTCACACGAAGAAGGCGGGTTTTGCTTGTATGTTCCGACATTCGTCGTTTATAGCCGGCTCATATGACTCCGGGATATTACAAATGATCGTTATGATTGACGCTGCAGTTTTCGAGATTGACACGCACAATTGGTTACAGCTGTCAACGACGAAAAAATTTTCATAAATCGGTATTCAGAGTGGTGTAACGGGGCATTCTCAAATGACAGCTTTCAGAAGAGTTAAAAATATTCATGTATTTCTGAGTTGATCAAAATGGTACGTACTGACTAATCACTATTCACCCTTAATCAATTATCCAGATCCTGTTAACAAACCTAGAAGACTAGGAGAAGCGACCAGAAGAAAACTTATCACCTCCTCAAAAAGCAAGATAACTTCTCAATCTGCCTCACATTAATTTCTTGAGCAGTAGATGCAGTATCTGAATCAAGAGAAGAAAAATATCTCCTCTCTGAACAGATCNTTCCATAATCATTAATAATAAATCAGATTTTCTGTAGAAACTATTTTAACAGATTACATTTTCACCTGAAATGATTTATTTTATAAATATATAATATCCCTCCGATTATCAACTAAACCAACCGCCACTGTTTTTGAGTCCAACTTATTTCCCGTAAACAAACAAAGTTATGGTGCCTTCAATATAAGGATGGAAAATGCCTCTCTATTGTCTTTTGTTACGGTAAGGGCTGAACAGTCTCGAGCCTGTCACGTAGATGGCACTAGTCTTATTGCATAACCTAAGCTTCCAAAGAAAGCTCATGATATTCTACTCATAATTTTGTGAGTTATTGTACTAAGAGTGACACTACTTTTGTTATTTTCAAAGCAATGGATGAAAAACAATTTCGTGTTTTGATTTAACTCTGTTTCTTGAAAAGTGTTATAAGAACTTCGATCCATCAGAAACAAGAATGAAATGATGGTTTGCTGACTTCAAACTTGGTCGTAGAGACATAAATGATGCAGAACGCCGTGGACGTCCAAATAAGACAGTAACACCAGAAAACAAAAAAAACCACAAAACAGTTTTGAATGATAGAAAAGTGAAGTTGCATCAGTTAGCTGACGTAATATATTTGACTATCTGAGTTGACAATTTCATGGGCATTAACATTTAATTTTTGAAGTGAAGAGGAAGATGCTGTAACGCTGGAGCTAGCTGTTGGAATTATTCTTTAACCCTCAGCTACTGTTCTTAACTTTCATCTTCCGTGCTTCTTAGGGCCGGTTTATCAATATGTAGTTAAATGCTCCTGTTAGCTACCTCGAAGCTAAGCTTAGCTGATAGTCAATTATTCTGAAAAAAGTCTACAGGGATTCGTTGAGCGATTCTTCACTGGCTGAAACAGTTCAATCAGGATTGATGAAAACTGGAATATTTTATTCTGATACTGAGTCTATGCGATCATTCAGATCCCACATTTCTGCTTCGATTATGATTGTTTTGTGGATACATTTTTCCTAAGCTGGTAGCATGTAAATTTACGTCACTTTATTTTGTAAATAAATAAAAAAGTTTGACCTACCTAAGCGAACGTGAGAATAACAAACATAGATATGTAAAGTTGGTTGTCTAACCTCATCCATAGAAACCTTCTGAAAATTCCATTGCTAATCTCGAATGTTTTGATTATGGATGAGTTTCACGAGTTGAAATTTTCTTTTGGTATTTTCTGTTTGATTTCAATTTTCAGCTGTTTGATGATATTTCGACTGTCAACTGTTTCATTTTTCGTCAGTGTAGCCAATTTAGCTTTAGCGGGTGTCTGATACAACCAAACATATCATTACTTTATTCTGTTCAGATTGGTCCTTTATGCATGGAACGTGCAAATATTGATAGGTCAAAACGCTAGTACCGTATCTTCCTAAAAGAAAAAGAAGAAGAAATTGAATTCTTTTCTGATCACTTAGGATGGTAGATTTGGCGAAAACGACAGGTGTCTGCCCTACAGGTGTTTCTGGTTCTGTTCGGCTGACGAATCCTGAATTTGTTAAATGATCCTTAGTGGATATTTCGTTCTACCCATCTTATTATCAACCACAACCACATAATGTGGTATCCATTTCTTGATGATAATCCTCTTTTTTTTTCGATTCAAACACCATCAATCCAATTTCGGTAACCACATGATTTTGGGACAACTTTCAGGATGTCAAAATACAAATTTATACGACTTGATACCTGGGTATCTCAAATTCCGAGGTAAACTTACAAACTGACTGGACTATGTACACAAACCGCCATCGCCAAACTCATGAGCATCTTATCATCATCCCGCCCGTACGAGGACATTTAAATACAAATTGTGCGCTTTTGTAACATTCAAATTAGCGCAGCTTGTCTCGTCCCATAAATTTTCCAAAATTACCATAATTGCGCTCCGTTAATAAAGAACGCAGCAATAATTCGACTGGATGGCAATTTATAAAACAAATGAACGCGCCGCTATGCAAAGAGATCTTGATGTAATTGCGAGGCGGGTACAATAACGTAATTGATGAATGCTCATTACCCAGCGACACAGTTCGAGGGGGGTACTTTTGTGTCGGGCGATGGTGTGTTAAGAGATATCCAGATTAATTTTTGCCGGGTGAGAGATGAATGAGACAAGCTAGAAGCAGGAGGAACAAGATACGGAACATTCATTTTCAACAGCATTCAGAGCTTCCCAATATCAGATGTCAACTGTCATTGAATTCTTCTTCCTAATAATTAGAGTTAAGTAGCCGTATGTGGAATACTGCCTAAAATGTGGAATACCTCCTTTGCGGCAAAAGTAATAACGCCATCTATCTTCCAATAGAGTATCAGAAGCTCTTTCTATCATGTATCAGAGACACAAATGAATGTCTGAGAAGTAAAAAAACACCAGTTGAAATATATTTGGTCGGGAAATACTCAACACATCATCAACTAAAAATGTATTCATGCATATACGTATGCACTGCGAGCACTTACAATTATGTACCTACCATTTATGAGTGTTTCGGTGTGTTTCACACATTTTGCCCAGGTTTCAGCGTTGCACTTCTCTAACGCTTCATTCCACATACTTAATACTCTTTCATCACTGTTTGATGTTGAACACCGTTTTTTGAGATATTTCAAGAGCATCTGCAACTCTCTAAAATACAGTTAAGAAAAGTTATCACATTTCTTTTATGATTTTAATGGTTACCTCTTGAACAGATGAAAATGGTAACAATGGTCCTCCATGCGCTCTCTCCCTTTCAAAATATTCGCACAAGTTCAACACAAATTGTTGTGTTTGTGAATTAAGAATACTTCCAGGCATAATCTAAAAAGGAGTATAAATATATTGTACATGTTTTTGGCATGACTTCATAGATGTAATTAATGTTATTTCTCTCAATATTGTTTCCACACTCCCAATTACTCTTGTATAATATCCCGGTAATGCGGAATTATAGTCACAAATGTCAATTGTGAGGTTGGAAATATTAAAAAACATTTATGAATAAAACACATTGTATTGTACCTACTTTGAAAGTAATAATGCCAAGAGACGTTTAGCTTTGAAAAAAACTATTTTTGTAATATATTTGACTGCAAAATACTGTAAAACTGACGAAAACAATACCCAATACCATAAAACAATGATGCTGTCAACTGTCAATATCATGTCTGGCAAATGTAGGTGAATTGTAGAACACTGTCGGCTGTCTGGTTATCTCTTTCCACTGTTATGAGTATTAATTGATCATCACTATAACATACGTTTTTGATTAGAAGACAAATGTTAACGAATTGTCATCTGTTCTTAGCGATTGATAGAAAGAGATGTTTCATAGAGGGTGTGTGATTTCTATGATCATAAATTGATGACGCATCGGTAAAGTTAAAATAATCGAAGTGTAATTAAATCGAGTAGGCTATGAAAATTTGTTTATGAAAATAGAAGTTCGCAGTCACATTTTCAATTATAAATTGACAAATTCACAGTTTGGAGTTTATATAGTGATTTTTTGGTACCATGCCCGACTTTACGAATGCTGAAATGGCTGATACGGTAATGGCTTCTATTAATAAATGGCACAGCTCTTCACGCCGACAGACTCTATATATTCCGAAAACAGTAGCAACTTTTATCATCATATAGTTTTCATCTGGCGCCTCATTCATGAACCTCTGGACTTGTTCAAACGTGGGCCTATAACTTTCATTTTTCTGCTTTAAGAATGCTATTACCTTGAAATATTTGCTTGTATCAACGCCATTTTTAACGAGCACACTCGACTTCATTATTGAAAACTTGCTCCACAAAGTTGACGAGTTCCATATTTTGATTTCTCTTCTACATAGGCTAAGAAGACGGTTGCGCATAAATTTCCTTTGAAGTTTTTAAGGCTACACCAGCTAAGAAAGTTAGAATATGCGATGTCGTACTGCTGAGCTGATTTTTTTGGTAACAATTCAACTGAAGCTCTTTTTGCAGCCTCTTCAATATCGTCAGGAACATACAATTCCTCAATATTTTTCTTCATTGTGCAACATTAAACACCAGCAAGAACTTTGAATGTGACTTTAAATGAATCGCGTGAGCTGTAAACAATACTGTTTGTTGGTAATCAGATGATTCGACGTCACCTGACACGGCTACTTTACAAAGCAAATGCAATAACATGTATATTGTCAACTCGATAAATATTGGTTTTAGTTCATCAAACGTCGGCTTGAAAAACTGTTTAACCGTTAAATCGATTATCACCATCGTCTGTCAATGTTCCTCAAAAGACCTTTGTGAAAATTAACTAGCTTTGACCCTTCGAAAAGTCAATATTTGAAATATAAATAATGTGGTGAGTTGAGCAAATGAATCTTAATGGACAGGGTTTTTTGAAGTTATACTTCTTTTGGCGCGTTAGGGAAAAATGATGAGAGTAAATTTCTACGATTCGCGCACACCGAAAAACCGACTCCCTGAAGTTAGCTTCTTCTTCTTCTTTAATTTATATGGCCGTTGCATCTCCGTCGAGCGCATTTGGCCAGACTCTTCCTGTCATTCTCGAGGTAATGCTGCCACCCTAAGTTTTCTCATTCACTTTTTCTTTAAACACTTCATTTTTTCACTCAATGTGTCTGCAGCTTCAATATTCATTCAAAATTGACTTGATTTTTTTTTAAATACCTCACTTTAGGACTTTTCAAAAAAAAGTTTCTAATAATATATCGTGGTGACTGATATTTACTAAAGATAATTGACTGTGAAGTTTTTAAAAGTGGTTTTAAATTTGTAGAATTTGAGGTTAGTTGACGGTTTATATTATTTATTCACACCATAAACTAAAATACATTTTTACATTATTATTTATTACGTAATGAGTGTACAAATGAATTAAAAAATTAATAATAGATACAAATAATTCTATGATATTTAAATGAACTTTATTTATCTACTTCTTTCGTATTATTAATGTCGTTTCTTCTACAAAGGTAGGATAACACAAAGATAAAATTTTTGGAAAGAGTTTCATCTTGTTATGCCAAAAAAGTATAACTTCTTACGTGCACAAACATTTTTTTTCTGGGCTTACGTTTGCTCAGGAATTGAATAGTATGATTATTGGAAACATAGTTTCCTGAAACCAATACATAAACTAGGAGATAAGAAAAATATTAAGAATTATGGAGCAGTTTGCAATCAGTCAGAGATGGCTAAGATGTTTAATTCTATGCTTAGAAAGAAAATCTCCTGGGACTGAAAGTCTTTACTCAATCCCCAACAACAGGGTTTTTCAGAGAGAAAATCCACTTGTACCAACCTTGCTCTTTACACAAACTACTCAACTGAAAGTCTTGAAAGGAGGGTACAGGTTGACTCTGTCTATACTGACTTTTTCAAAGCTTTTGACAGAGTCAACCACGAAATATTTGAATCTAAAATTCAAGCTCTTGGTATAGGCGGGAATTGCATTCGAAAATACTTTGTAGTTCTTCACACTTTGTTGAATGAATAACTAAATAAGAAGAAAGCCAAAAATATACCCCTTTCAATTCAAACAGTGAAATTCAAAACGAAGAAAAGTTTAATGTATAAGTTTGAAAATGTCCTTATGGGACGAAACTGCAGTAACGTTAGTTACAAATAAAAGTGTTAAAAAACAGAAAGTTTCAATTCTCTTTTCTTCATTAAAATTCCCTACCACGTTGTTAACGGCTACATCCATCAATTTATTGAAATTCAAAACAAATTTTTGATCATTTATGTTGGTTTCCTGCTAAGCACAATTCGGAAATCCAACCAAAACCTCCCATTCCGAAATTTTCAAAATTAATCTTTCGCATCAATCACACCATTCACAGACAAAATACAATCGTGACAGTCGAAGGCATTGCCCAACGAACCCGGCATATGAATATCAATGGGACAATCGAAGCCGCCTCGATTCGCGTAGGAAGAAGAGTTATTGAATGTGGGATGGGGACACTAAATCAAAACAAAAGGTACACGATCGGCGTACCTGCTTGTAATGTTAGTTATTTCGACGTTATCACGACCGTTTGTCATTCCAAAGAGAGATTAGGCTAATGAAAATGTTGTACAGGCCGGATGGAAAAATTATTTGCGAACGGCCATATTTGGCGCAGTGCGTTCAATGTATAAGGTGAGGGAGTGATAGAAATGAAAAATGTGAATGTATTGCGCGCCCAGAAAGATTGAATCGGGTCGCATTCATATACGGTAGTAATGAATGGTATTATTAACATGAAACGGTTTGTACAGCCAATCTCTTTCTAATCTAGAATTACAAAACTGTTCAGCTTGAGGTTGTGGTTAGACTTCATTATGTTTCATTTAATGTAAGCACGTTGAACTCCCAGTGTTACTATCTTCATTCGGATTTGAAGGGGGTCGTAGTTTGTAACTGTATACTAACGTTTCGTCAGCACGAGTGGCTGGCTTCTTCAGAGGTTTATTCATCTTGATGATTTATCGATGACTGTTTCAAAAAATATTTGAAAATTTTCCTAATCTGAAAATACGACTTCGTATTATTTCAAAGGAATTGAAACAATCCATCAGATAATATTCTTCAGGACTTATAAAGAAAGAAAAAATTAATCAACTATCATATCATTTTCCCACGAGTAGCTAGGAAAATAAAATCAATCACAGTAGAGCCCCGCATTACCGTGACAAAACTTTTATAATAAGTACGAATGTATAAAATAACTTTTGATTCACGATAGATAATAATAAGTATACTGGAGAATAAGTATGCAAAGAGTTTGATATACTAGTGGATATTATTCGTGTATTCAAGACAGATTCAGAATAAATTGAGAGAAAATCATGTTCCAACATTTACTATTAGCAACTAGTGTCCACAAAAATCATCTCGACTGTTTCGAGAAGGGAACTACCATCAACAGTGAATGTTATATAGCGTTATTTGAGCGTTCTAAGGCCGAAATTGCAAAGAAACAACCTCATGTGGCAAAGAATAAAAAGTGTTTCATCAAGACAACACAACGTGTCACAAGTTAATCAAAACAATGATAAAACTACATGAATTGAACCTCAAATTGCTCCAATATCCACCGTATTCGCCAGATTTGGCTCCCAGCGACTACTGGCTGTTCACAGACCTTAAAAAATGCTCGCTGGTAAGAAATTTCGCTCGAACGATGAGGTTATTGTTGAAACTGAGGCCTTATACTTTCCTTGTATCATGTTCATCATGTGTTTTTTTTTATTCCAGGTGACTATCTTCGTGACAAGTATGATGGAGCAACAGAGGTGCGGGTCAACAGACGGGGTCGTCTCCAAATCCGCGATCCCCGAGTCACCATCCCCACAGCGTCCGATTTGGTATACATGGAGGATTCCCCGAATTACTGCGTCAAAGACGACAAAATTGGATCTTTAGGCACGCAAGGACGACAGTGTAACAGGACGTCTCAGGATATCGATGGTAAGAGAGATTAGTTTTTGGTGTTTGTTGGTTGGTGAGTGATAAACTTCTACATCGCTCAACCGATCGTAATGAAACCTGACATGTATAAGTAATTTTTCATAGAGAAGGTTATTAGGGTATCAATTTTTCTGTAACTCGCCAGTAGATGGCGCTGTAGAACAATTTTTGAAAGCACTGTTTAGTTCGACTTCTTTAAAAGCGTGTTTTTTAGTTTTTTTAACTATATTTATTCTCTCTTTCAGGTTCTCTCTGTATTTCTTGAAGAAGAGTATATCGATACACTTTTTTCATTTCAGGTTGCAACCTGTTGTGTTGTGGAAGGGGTTACAACACGCTGAAGAGTACCATTCGAGAGAGGTGTCAGTGCCAATTCAAGTGGTGTTGTCAGGTGGAATGCAAAACGTGCATAAGATCGATGGACGTGCATACGTGCAAGTGATTTATCGCTATATAGTGTACAGGGTGTGACAAGTATCGAATTTTTTGAATTATGGCCTGTGGAACTGTGTTCGTACGAATTTTTTCCGATAATGCCCGAAAATCTCAGTTCACTTTCACGGGATAAAATATCAGCGATGTCGATCTTGAAGACGTAACATATACAGGGAGATTCGAAGTTGAGACGAATCAACTGAAACTTTTTTGAATGAAATTTTCAGAGTTTTCAGAAATAAAAACAAACATATTCAATTTCTGCTTCCTATTTCAACAACATTTATATTTCTTATATTTCAGGTGTGAAATGATGTTTACTGAAGAATCTGATGCTCCAAATAGTTGTATGAAGGCTATTTTTCGGGTTTTCTGGTCGTGGCCTGCAAGTTTTTATGTCTGGTGTTTCGTCTACTGCTGCGATATACATTTTCAAAGGCGTTGGGTGCTCTGGTTCTTGTTCCTGTTGTATCCAGCTCGTTGCATAGTTCTTTTGTATCCAATGCAATGCGTTGGAAACGAACAAGAACTAGAGCACCATATCGGTTATTGTGATCGTTACCATATCACCTTTGATAATGTCTACCGCAGAAGTAGACGAAACGTCATTCATAAAACTGCAGACCACTGCCAGAAAATTCTGGAAAAAGCCTTCATACAGTTACCTCCGGCCGTGAAAATTTATATTCTTTCATCCAAATAGTGTTGTTTAGCGATAGTGTTGGTTTGATATTTTTTAAAATTTCAAAATGATTTTAAGGTTATGTTAGTATACGTTCTAACCTACAAAAATATTGTTTCGTTTGAAGGTCATAACAACATGTTTCGTTTGAAGGCCGTGAAAAACACTTCGATTTCCCTTATAGAGTGTTTAGCCACTTCTCACCTACAAAAAATTTGCTACAGAAAAACATGTTTCATTTGAATGTCATAACAAACACCTCAGTCGCCCTTATAGGGTTTCTTGCCACTTCTCACCTACACAAAATTTGCCACAGAAAAACATGTTTCGTTTGAATGCCATAATAAACACCTCAATTGCCCTTATAGGGTTTCTTGCCACTTCTCACCTACCAAAAATTTGCTACAGAAAAACATGTTTCGTTTGAAAGTCATAACAAACACCTCAGTCGCCCTTATAGGGTTTCTAGCCACGTCTCACCTACAAAAATTTCGGTAGAAAAAACATGTTTCGTTCAAACGCCATAACAAACACCTAAATAGCTCTTTTAGGGTTTCTAGCCACTTGGGTGTCAACAAAAACTTCTGTTTTCTGGTTAGAGCCTTTGAAAAGATCAGAAAGCATCTTTAACATTTCAAACTTCGTCTCAAAACTATTTTCCGAGTTTTTCGGCCATGATCAGCAAGTTTTTATGCTTGTCGTTTCGTGTTCTACTGCAGTAGACATCAGCAAAGGCGATTAGGTAACGAAGTGCTCGAGTTGTTATCTCGACCGTTACCTCGTCGCCGCAGTATTAGACGAAATAACAGGTATAAAAACCTGCAGAACATGGCCAAAACAACTGTAAAATAACTTTCACACATTCATCTCTGGCCGTGCAAGTTTTCACTCTTATTTCAAACTTCAATTGGTCATAGCCTGTATATTATTGAGCTTTTTCAAGTACAAGGAAATATAATATGTTTTCTAGAGTATTTGCTGTCTCGGTAGTGAAAAAACTATTGAAAAAAATCACGTAAGATTTACGTTATATAAGGACCATTTTTGTAACGATTGTAAAATTAGGTAGCGACTAAGGATGTGTATTATTTTTTATTTATTTATTTGTTACAATAAGTAATATATTTGTTTATATTTGATGTTGTTTCATTTGTGATAAATCGTAAGTAAGATGTAACATGTGGTGGATTTCAACCGCGATTGCAACAATTAATTGTTGTTTGAAGGTGGTTGACTAATGAAATGCATTAATTGTTGTGATTCATTTCGGGGCTGTTAGTGAGCAGAGTTAGATAAGAATATGAAGTCTTCACAATCTGAAAAAATACTCAGTATATAGTTGAAACTTTAAGTTTCCACCACATATAATTTTACTAATACTTATGTTGATATTTTGATGAAGTTGTTCAGGGATACTTACTTACCAGCCACATTATAAGTTCAAAATTCAACTTCTGATTAAGCGAACAGAAAGTTTGCCCTCATTAACTATTGATATCCTAGCAGTCCCGGTCCGTCACGGCATCCCGCCCGAATAATTAAATAAAAAACAAAGGCAGTCGTACACTAACGGAGACCAACTGGAGGCTAGCCTCTCTCTAACGCTATAATTTCTGCATCTGAAATTACAAACCGGGACGTATGTCACTGATTGGATCGGTCTCGCGGAGCTTGTGTTTCTTAAAGCGGTCGGAGGCTTGACTCTCTTGCAACGTACGGCATTTATTATTTCGGGTTGATGTTTTCTTCGTTATTCGTTCATGGACGGTGCGTGTGAGGTTTGTTGATGCAAGATACAGCGTGGTACGTACTACGTAGTGAGTGATAGTATGTTTTCGGGCATATTATGTATTATATTAAAAATTAATGGTAAAGTAATGATACCCAAGCATTTTTAGAAAAAAATAATCATAATTATTTGTCAATATCTTTCAATTTATTGCGATGAATAGCCTGAAATTTTATGGGGCGGCGAAGCCTTCTATGCCTCTTCTGACGAGCCGCCGCTGTATCCTAGTTGTTAAGTGTACCTAATGAAAAGTATGGAAAATACGTAATATTCTCAAAACTGATATCTTCAACTTCTGAATTGAAAAATCTTATATTTTTGAAATGATTATGAAAGATGATAAAAACACACTTGCTGTCCAAAGACAGAGGTTCTGCAAAACAAGAGAATTATAGAAAAATAAATCGTATACTTGCTTACAAACTTACATTTACTGAGAACTTTTAACTCGAGAGAAAGACGATTCTACAACTTATAGTCCAGGCTATTTTTTGGGATTTTGTTAAACGAAATCGTTCTGTTCAAACTGAATTGGCTTTTCGTTCATTATAGTTACGTACATCAGACTGTCTGATCAAGGAACTGGACTTCAACTATTACTGCAAATATGTATAATGTTTTGCATTAACCTCCGGAAAAAAAATTACGCTAGCTATCGCTGGTTTCATTCGATAGACTACGACTTGGTCTCAAGGCCGTACTTGGCCCCACTTATGTAGTTCAGATCGCAAGTTTTTTGTTCTGATGTGGGAAGAATGGTTTCATCAGAATTGTCACTTTTATTCACTAAAGATTGTACCAAAACAGAATATGAATCAGATGAAACCAGATAGATCACGTTAATTTGATTGTTTATTGATCAATATATGAAGTATAAATATTTTTCGTCATTTTAGTTATGTGAATCAGACGGTGAATTATTAGTGAAAATAATATTTCACGGCATTCAGCTTTTTTGAATATTACAATTTCTCATACATCTCTGAACATTTTTATAGCTGGAAAATCTATGAAATTGTTTATTATTCCAAGAAATTCGAGGCATTTGATACAAAATAACGATAAATAGGCATTTATTACAAAATAATGATAAACTTTTTTTTTACGTTGAACTTACTAAATTCTAGTGGTATCTTCACAAAAAGCTTGATTTGATAATTTGGCGAAGGAACTGGGAATTGTCATTTACTATTATGGCGAAAGCTCGGGGGTTGGGCTTCCAGTAAAACTCATGTTGACTCCATTATATTCATTTACAACAGAAGTCTTACATACAAATTATTGTATCTGAAAATTATTCATGAACAACTCAACGTATATCTCAGTCTCCCAGATTAAGTTATTTAAGTGAGATTTGTGAAAAAAAATATAATTCAATGGGTTCCATTCTGCACTTAGCAGGATGAAACCTGCAATAAAAGATGTTTGGAAAAATTAAACACTGAATGGATTTGGGGAAATTTTCCTGTAACGTTTGCAAACCATTCGATAGTTCATTATGTGGTGTGGGTGAGCCAAGTTACGTATGAATATGAAGTTTTCACGATCTGAAAAAAAAAGTATAACAGCATTTGGCCCGTTCTTGCTGTTTGACGGTATTTACTTCAAATAATTGTAATGAAATGTATATTCGTATCTTCACGAGTTGATGAGTGATATAATTATTTTTTTTTACAAATGTGAGTGGAACTGAATATTGTATCATTTGAAATTTTCATTATCATCATTTTCAAAGAATCTCATTTCATTTTGAATTCCTACTCATCTAATTGAATCGTATCCATTTATATTATAGAATTATAGAAATTGTTAAATCATTTAGTTTTTCACAATAAGTTGAAAATTGTTTAAATTGAGAGGAGTACTTAGATTCTTGGAGGTATTTGGAAAAGCAACTTGTTGGCTTTTTACTTCTCCATCTTTATCCAAAAAAATTAGAAACTTCCAAACAAAGGACGATATCAATTAAGTTTCTAATAAACTCTTTATAAAGATGTGTCAATTATGTGTAGAATTTACTCTCAGTTACAAACTGAAACAAAAACCCATCTCGAAATTTAATGCTACCAAAAAAGTTGGTGATGAGGTAGTAAAACAGGTGTCTCATTTCGAAACATCGAAGTATGCCGTCAAGAATGATGATGTTCCATGTGAGTGAAATTTCATATTGTAACTCCTTGATATATTATATTGTGGAGCGTTTCTATGAATCATATCCGTTTCAATTCCATGCAAAATGTTTGGAAAACAAACTGAACAGAAAAAATTGATTTTCATGTACTTCAATCTCCATATAAAAGTAACTGTTTCTTTCGTGTGATAGAAAAGTAAAGAGCGAAAAAGCTTTTTTCCTTAGCAGAAATTGTCTCTCCTCTATAACCTTTTATATGTGAAAACAAAAAAATTATTTGAAGTTGAAACTGTTAATTCGAAGATAACCAAGAGATCAAAAAGTCAATGACAAATATTTTTGAAACAATGCACTTGTGGAATTTTTTTTCTTGTTATTTTGCAATCGTGCATAAGTTTCCAAAATTCCTGTCATTACCATCAATTACCGTCAGATACAAGGCATAATTCAAGGTTCCCAGTGGCAGGGCATCCAGTTCCATAGATTTCTGAGTACGTCTTAATATGAAGAAGAGGTCTTTTCTGGTTTGAATATCTGTCTTATACCATTTCATCGCATATATGGCTTCACCTATAGATTCTGTCTGGAATAGTATCGGTAAATATCAATCAATGTGTAGGTAAGAAATCAGTAATAATCATATCTTTCTGAGAAACATTCAATATCAACCCAAGTTGAATTTTGATGTGTTAAGGTGCGTTTTGTACTAACTAATCTAATTCCCGATTCAATAATTCCAGCTAAAAGCTCGTCATAACTATATTAGTATCAACAAAACGTACCTACAGTTGAAAAGGTTGAAATTTTTTGAAAATTATTTCAAAAAACCTGGAACGGACATTTTTTTGATCGAAATTATGTGGGTACTTGTTGATTGGCTATCTTACGATTTGTGTTTTCGACTGGTTGAAATGTAGGTCATTACCACTATAGTAGTCAATTAACTTTTCCATATATGTACACAGCGTATGCTGTGTACATTTCATTCCCTAAAACATTCTCTATATCATTAACGTAGAGAATGAAAAGGATAGGACCTAAAATTGATCCCTGCGGCACTCCCATATCGAGTTCGATTTTATCTGAATTTTTTGTTACTATCCCATCATTACATTTATGTTTTATGCTCACTGAGTTCTATTCTGTAAAAAACTTGAAATCCATTGAAGTGCAACACCCCTGACTCCATATGTCTCTAATTTCATTATTAATTTATTATGATTGATCCATCTGTGAATCAACAACTATCTGCAATTGACAGTTGGAGGTAAGTCAGAGGTCATTTTCAGAATGCTGTGACTTTCAGTGACAATCAGCAGTCTGTTGCACTCTGCATTAAAATGATTTGTGCAATTGGCAATGTGCACACGTCTATGTGCAGTCCATCTAGCCTTCCTCTCCAGAAAAATGTGGAGAGGAGGTGATCTAGAAGGATCTCCATGGCTGCTGACGGTGTGATACTGATGGCCAGACAAGCCTGTCTCTGTAAGCCAGAGAGCTTCGCTTGAACCGTTTTCTGTAAAGCCTTCGGGAATGACCCCACCATTGGAAGAAAGTGGCATCAAATCATCCAATTTTCTCTTCCGGTGAAGGGGATTATCACTGTTTTGCTAGGGTTGACAGACATTTGCTCCCTCCTTAGCCAGGAATGATCCTATAGATTTAGGTAGTGCATTGTCAAATGCTCCTTCAATATCGAGAAATACAGCAATGGCAATCTTCTTGTGTATGCCACAAGGAAAGCTTTCGAATTCTACAAACAACTTCCAAAAGTTCAAGGTAAAAACAATAGTCTTCTACAGAACCATCTTGGACATCTTTATTACTAAAAGAGGAAAATTTGCTGCATCACAACGACACTTGATAACAATTAATCATACAGCGAGATATCAAAAAATACTGATGATGAATTAAAAATTAGTGTTTCCACTTGACACTTTGGAAGTGCACCTTGAGTTTGAGGTCTTTCATTTGTAGAGCATGGATTACTATTTCCACTTTTTCTGTGGGTGGTCAAAAAATCAGACTGCTGCTTATATGATATTAGAACCTTCACTGATTTATGACAAATGATGGATCCAAACGCGTTGAATCGTTGAAACTGCGGTACAATCCAATCATTGAAGGTAAAATATGGCGACACAGTACAAAACGATTCGCACAAACATTTTGATTTAGGTTCTACTGCAATCGAAAGTAGTTGTTTCCAAATGATTTTAATTTTTTTTTTCTGTTGTTTCTCACTGAAAGAACTGTATGTGTATGAGCTACACATCTTTTGGAAGAGTTTCTATTGATGAATATGTTTTTTCTCCCCTTCTTTGAATGTTTCCTACTTTTCATATATTAATAAGGAGACGCAGTAAGCAAAAAAGGTTTTCTCACAAAAAATAATGCCTCATGAGAGTAATCCATTTTCAATAAATGATTGGAACAATTTAATTGTTGTTCAATACGTTTATGAAAAATTTACGTTATCAGTTATCTTCTGGCCAGCATCGCATAGGAAAAATAAACAGCACATCCAGCCTGAGATTTCACACAGGGCTCCCCAAGTATTGGTCTGGAAAAGAAAAAAAATTATACATAGGCAACAAAAGTTTCGATATTCTTAGAAAATTTTGAAAGAATTAATTTTCAGTTGTAATGTTCAGATGTTATTCGTGTAATTTTGTGGAGTATGACACTTAACCGAGAGTTGAAATTATGAATAATTGACGAATTCGAACAATGAATATTTTTGGCGAAACATTTTGTTTCAACGATTCCTTTCTGTAATACTGATTGCTGAAATGTGTTTCCAAAAAACTGTCGAAAAAATTCGAAAAGCTAGAATTTAAATTGGCCGCGTGTCTGTTGACCAATGAAATTGATTGTGTCTAGAGCAGAGTTGCCAAGTGTATTGGTTTTTGATATCCAATCACAGATCTGATGATCCAATTTGACAGGCGCCATTTTTGTTGTTATTGTTGTCAACTCGGTTGAATACAACTGCTACAATTATCTATTTGAAGAACGTTTTTTGTAAAAGGTAGGTCTCGGCGGGTGTCTGTTTTGCTGCATATTCCGTGTCATTAGTTTACATTCCAAAAAATATTTTTTCAGGTTATTTTTGGATTGATGTTCTGAGATAAAATGAAAATTAAATCAAAACTTTCCATCCTACGATAAAAGACAAAGTCTGAAATGAATGTCATATAAATAAAAAGGACCTACTAAATATATCACCTACCGTTTCAATTTTTCATTCTTCATTTCGGTACCAATTGCAAATTTTTCAAGTAAAATTAATTTATCATTTCAAAATCGACTTTTGGTAAGTTGTCGGGAGTCAGCTTTAACAAAACTAGGCTCGACATTCATTTTGAAATTACTTTAACAAAAATATGAAGTTTGTGGAAACCGTTGACATTAGAAAGAGCACATTGTCGCATTCACTACAGCGCTGGCTGACTGGATGACAATATGGCTAATATACCAGTAACGTTGAATTTCGTATTTTTTGGTGGGTGGCATGATTGCATCATTGATTTATTTTATTACGGTTCATGACAATTCGAAAACCATTTGAAAATACAGCTCGTTTAATTCTATCTAGAATTATATTTAGATATAATTGTACTATATCAGTTATCAAGACAAATATTATATTGTCCATTTTTATGCTTGATTCGTGGATTCGAGCGATCTTATTATTGTATATTTATTTGTTTGCTGGCTTCATTCTTAAAAAAATGAATGGATAATTACAGAAAATTTCAATTGATCGTTCATTTTCTCAGGAAAATGGAGTACCCATATCACAATTTATTGGTTTATTCGGATCCATTCTGCTTATTTTTGCAACATTGAGTTTCAACTTTCTCTTAGCTGACAGCTCACGTAGGAACAATTCATTTCTTTCATCGAGAAGAAAGAACTACAATCCTTATATTCTTCCAAAACTTTATAGAAATCGTTTAAAAAGTGACTAGAAATGAAAGGGAGACGAAAATATTAAATTCAATGACAGTTTTTTATTTCAACTTCAAGTATTCTCCACAGAAAGTATTATCTGGAGTTGATACTGTCGTTAAAAGTATGATACACTTTACTTCATTAAATTTTATCATATGATCAATGGTATTACCTCGGAAGCTTTTGTTAGTTCAGTTCGAGTACAATCAGTTCTGTCTATATTTGACTTCATTCAACCTTCCTCTCAAGTTTTGGAAGATTCAACAGATTACCCAAGCGAGCCTATAACGCTTGAATTTAGTTCCATAAATTTTAGGATTTGGCAATGTTGATTATTTCTATTGTTTCTATTGGTCAATTGAACAAGAAGTGGTAATAGGGTCGTGACGTCACCACCCTACAACATTTGATTTTTAATAATTAATTACGGCAAAACAACGCTATTTAGAGAGATGAAACAAAGTGCACTGTTTTTCAATTTAAAATTTCTATCATGTGAACTATAAACCAAAAATCATGAAACAAGCTCATTATGTATGTATGTATGTATGAAGGGAGTTATGTGTATGAATAATGAGTAAATAATATGAAATATGCTTACATTGAATGCTTGATTGATTAAACAGCCGATGGCTAGTGCCGCAATGAGAGAAACATGTCCCAAACAGAATTTTGCTTCGTAGTTTTGCTCTTCCAAGATTCTGAAGTCAAATAACAAGTTATCTGATGAAGTTGGCCGGTAATTCATAGAAATTCATGAACAATTTATATATTCAATAACTAAACAATTTACAGTTGCTACCTCAATAGTGCTTACTTTATTATGTTCAGTATTGAAACAGTTTGGGGTGCTAGTGTGTAGTATTATTACACATGCTGCGGTTTGAACTTTATTTTATAAGTCATAGAAGAAGTATAGTACTCTACTCGCAAAATATTGCCATTACTCGCCTTCGTCGACAAACTTCACTCTTACGAGTAATGTCCATATTTCTAGCTCATTGAATAATGTTAGTGCGTGAAAACGTGAAATTAAATTTTGAGGAACACTGGTTGAATGAAGTGGATATATTTGCTGATGTTTAGTTTCTTTTCGACATATATAAGATTCAAATGACTGTTTAAATTTCCTTTCTCACATTTTGAATATGATAGAGTTTGATAAACATATAAACATGAGTTTTTTACATATTTAAGATTGCAATAATTGCAAAATGTATTTGTGTCTTCAAATTTTAGTTGAAGCTTCACAAAACATTATTTACTGTTCGACTTACTTGAGTCGATTCATGAATGAGAAAGTTATGTCGATTCAAAAATCACGTTAAACGTTCGTTGAAAAAAATACTAGCTAGTTATCATTATTAGTCAACAACTCAAGTACTGTCTGCTTATGCTCACTCCAAAATCTTTTGATGATAGCCAATCCAGCTTCTCATTTTTGGTCCCACTTTTCCAGGCTGCTTTTCTCTTAATACGATTTGCGAAAGCTCTTTCAGATGATAAATTCTTTCACAAACGATTTGAGCTGCTTCCCAGTTCAAGAAAGGTATGAGAAGACCTAAAATGAATGAAAAAACTCGATTCAACAACAGCAGAAATAATTTCATCGACAAAATATTTCTTTAAAGAAATAAAGTTTTGTGTGATCAATGATTAATGAATGGTTGAAATTATTTTTGTAACTGTTGGCGCGCCTGTCCTCTATACACACGCGGAGTTTGAGCGCCATCTGTCATTTAGTTTGTTTACAGTACTAAATTTATGAATTTACCTCAAACGTGTTTTGCGATTTGTGCAATGGATAAACATGGAACAAAAAATGTGTCCTAAATTTTGCGTGGCAAATGGAATTTCGTGTGCCTTAGCGCTGAAAGTGTTGTATAAGACTAACGGTGAATCAGATGTGGTGGAAGATTTGCCTCGCTTTGGTCGGCCATCAACATCTTCAACTGGATTCATCATCGCAGAAGTAATGGAAATGATAACTGGAAATCGTCGTTTAAGTCTGAGAGAGATAGTCGCTGAAATTTCTACGTCTCACGAATCAGTTCGTACCATTTCAAACGGTGCCATTTTGAACGGGTGATATAAACAATGTGGATCAATAAAACGTAATTTGCGTTTCATTGACTAACTCCCGGTACATCTCCTAACTTACCAGGCACTGTTGCAAAGCAAGAGGCCAATGCTTGTAGGGCAAATAATAGCACTTCTCCCTTAGTACTGAGATCAAAAGGTAGCCATGCCGACATCATAACAAAGCAAATCTCATTCAGTCCTTTTTCCTCATTTCTCTGGATACAGTTGAAAGACTCGTAGTAGGCTTTGAGGATATAGATGAAAGTACCAAGAAAGCAGAGACCGGTGCAGAGTTTAGAGAGTATTTTGCAACGTCTGACAGTTTGCTTCAATTCCGTAGTGATTCCGTATTCGGATAAGGCGATAATTTTTCTCAGTAGCAAAGCCCATTGGTTGCTCCTGAAGGTAAATATAATACTTATCAGGGCAAGTCCAGTTCCTGCTACGACTAATGACATGTCTTCGGTAATATCTAGATCGTCTCTTTCTGAAAATAAGAATAACATAATTATAATCTGGTTGGCAGGAGTGGGTTGGAATAATTTCAGTGAAGATTTTTATTTTGAATCTTGTAGAAGTCCAGATAATTTACATTTTTGTATGTATTGAAAAATTCGTCTGTTGCTTTCTTTCCATGGCAATTTGATGTTTTTGTCATTGAACTTCCTTCAATTTTCTAGAATATCACTCGCTAAACTACAAATATAATGGCTATCGAAGAAATTTAGTCTGAGCACGAGGGGAATTTTTTTGGCGCACTATTTATTAACGGCATTCTGATATTCAAAGAGATTATTTTTATGTTTGACTTGAATATATCTGAAATGACAGTATCTTTTTGAATAACCTGAAGTAAATGAGGTTTTGAATTTGACCTGGTACGCGAAATTATATTTTATAAGAAAGAGAATTTTTTATCGGCAAATTCATCCAGAAAAAAAGGAATTGGTGATCATAGAAAAAAACTTTTACATATTTCATTACCGTGTTCAGTTGTTTCGATAAATGTAATAATAGGTACATACGTCTTTACAGTATGCAGATTGATAGAAAGGGGTAGATCTAAATGTCTTTATTCGAAATGGTGAATTATTTATTAATACTCGGTCAAGGATGGAAAATATCACGTGGTCGATATAAGCATGAACTGGATAATTGTTTATGATATTCAAAAAATTTCATATATCTGACCGGTAGTGTACCCATAAGCAAAAAACCAAAACCGACAAATCATGAAACGAATACTAAAGTTATTTGTGATGGTAATGACCAAAACCTGATAAAAATCCATAACATATATTCAGGGCCGTAGCGAAAAGAAATAAAAAGTTCTCCAAATCGCAACACGTGTTTTGCTATACAATGACTTATTCAGGCATGCACATACTGACTAACTGTTAGTGAAAATTCCACAAAAAAGCTTTGCTTGATTAATAATGTTACGTTGGATGCAAGTGTAAGAAGATGGAACTGTATTCCATGCTTATGAATAATACAAAACGCATTGTTTTTCACTAATTACTTGTAACTTTAGCATTCTGTCAAGGCCTTTAAGACGATTCGACCTTAAATTCAACAAGTTGGCTGTATTTTTGGCCTATTTGACACGAAAAAATTTTTTCAGTTCTGTTAGGCGAAGTCAATTTGATTCAGAACTTCCTCGTGATCAGGGCGACGCATTTGACAACAGAACTGAGATGCTTTAACGCGTCCAACAAGCCAATGGCTTGATCTACGATGTATTTATCAATACAGTCTATTCAACATGGCCGAAAAGGAGGGTTGCGACAGTTTAATTTTTGAGGGTTCTGACCGAAATGGTGACCACGGTGGCACAGTACTATGTAGAGTACTGAAATGAACCGTCTCAATCTATGCGACGGAGACATTTTTTTGCAAATATCTAAGGAAAAATAAGGAATTTTGAAAAAGCTGTGATCAATATGTACCGTGACCTGACGGAAAAAACTTTAACCCATGTGGCAGAACCACTTATTCCACCGCTAAGAGTTCAAACTGTTCTATCGTTAGGTTATGAGAATATACTTTAGATAGTCAATCTACAAAAAAATTAAGATTAGGGTTGGTTATTCAAAATTCGAATAAAATTTCAACACATGTCACACGTCAAACCAAAGAATAGTATACAATTTCTGTGCACACAAATTGTCAAAAATGTCAAAATCATATGTGATTCTGTGAAATGTCAGTGATTTGTAAGTAATGAGCTCATTTTTTTCAGATTATTTAGGAAATACATCGATTCTGGATGTAATCCAATTATATTGGAACTCCGCTATAACCTATTTAACGAACGCTGTCACCTCGATCCGCAAAACAGAGAGTGGCACTTTAAAAAACATATTCGAAAATATCCCTGAACTTGTCCACTTCAACGAATTCCAGTGGAAATTATTGACAATTTTCTCGGGTCTGTTGTTGTTCAACATAATATCGATTATTATCCTGTGGAAAATACATGGAAAAGTGGTTAGTGAAAGGTTTATGAAAACTTGTGAGTATAGCTGACAATCTGTTGACATTATTACTCATTTTTTTACGTTTGACAGCTACCCTGAGGGAAATTGAGGAACTGAAAGCGAGCGTAGCCAAGCTGAAACTGCCCAAAGAGCACTCCCCTAGAGTTTAATTCCCTAGTAGTAGTAATGGCGGAGAAAATTAAAAAATTCTTCGCTAAGAAAAAAGCAGATGCCAAATTCAGAGCAGCTGGTCCCGGGCACAAACTCAACGACTCATCCACCACCGTGGTAGTGGGCCCAACTAAAAAAAAGCCCGCCTACGTCCCTTCCAAAGTTGAACCCAGCGAGGCAGCTAGACAGGCCGCCGAAGCTGCAATGGTGAGGGTTTCTTCCCAGAAGAAAGATACCGCTTTCAACACTTCTCTAGCTGCCATTCAAGCTAAAGTTCGTAGGGAACTAGAGGCAGAAAATAAATGTAACCCGGAAGCCGTCTCACCTATAAGGCCTCAGGAAACAGAGCTGGAAGTTTCGTCTCATCTGATGGTGAAAGGTATCATTTATAAAGAGATTTTTGTAAAAACTGCACGTTTTCATTTGTAGGTGTATATTTCAGGTGCCCCTTGATTAGTGACGAAGTTTTGACAAAGGATGAATGGAAGGTCAAAATAAAAGAGTTCTTATTCAATACGCTGGAGGAAGAGCGAGGAATGACTGCTTGCTTGATTATATATTCCTGTAATTATAATAGATCTAAGGTGAGGTGAACCTTCTGTAAGCAATGATCAACAAATCAACTTTTATGTTTGTATCTATATTATTTTCTATTCTGCAGGTAACTGAATGTGTGAACGTCCTGTGTAGATACGTGGATAACATTATGGCAAATCCTGATGAGCCTAAATTCCATAAAATTAGATGTTCAAATGCCATGTACAATGAGAAAGTAGTTCCTATACTAGGAGCAACAGATTTTCTTTTTGCTGCAGGTTTTCGGCAACAAAAGCTGGAAAATAATGGATCCGAGGAAGATTACTGGGTGTGGTCCATTGAAAACATTGATGGAATTGAAACTTTACAGGTATGTTGGTTTTTTTTTCAAGAAGTTTGTTTTTTTTTATACAAACACTTGTCAATTCTACAGATTACACTATGAAATCAGCAGCTGTGTGATGATGTTTGTATAGTCTGTTTTCTAGTTTTATTTCATATCTGAATTGAATTCATTTTAGCGTCCATATCAATAAGAATATTGTTTGCAGCACATTTTTTTTGGGAGTTGGCTATTCTGTATATTTGTCAGTAGTGTCAGTTGTTACTGGTAGTTGTTGACAGCTGACACTAATGACATAAACAGGGTAGCCAACCCAGAAAAGATACATTTGCACCAACTGAAAACCTAATCTGATTTGGTCTATTGGAGAGAAAATATCACCAAACTATGTGGAGAGTATATGCTTCAAGCAATGTTTTTATTCATTGATGTTCTATTTTCTAATTAATCTCGATGTAGTCACCAATTCATGATGCATAATTTCAACTATAGTTCCTCAGAGACACCCTGAAAGCAGAGGAAAGGGTCGAACTTGAAATCGATAGAAACATCCAAGTTCTGTCGCCAGCTCAGATTGCACAAAGATTTGAATTACCCCAAGATTTCTATGCTATATCTGTGGAGGAACTGAAGAGAGAGAGGCAGCAAAGGTGAGGTTACATGAAATAACCTACGTTTTTATGTATTTACTGTTCAATGTTTCTCATGTTGGCAAAATGATTAAAGATCTGAAATGTTGGAGAAACAACTGCAGTTGAGGACGAAGGCTATGCGAGAAAAGGACGAGATCCGGGAGATTAGGAAATATAAGTTTTGCTTGATTCGAATTAGATTTCCTGATGGCTTATATCTACAGGTGAGATCTGTCTTCAATTCTTGGACTAAACACTTCTTTTTTTTCTTGTTAAACCTATTTCACTGTATTTATTAGTATAAGCAAGATGAGTGATAGAAAAGCCTGTGTCATAGATTCCTCAAGTTTTTTTTAACCATATCGACATGACTTCACCTTCTTATATTCTGAAATAAAACAGTAGATATTACCACAATGGTTTGGATACCGCAGGGTTCTATTTTGGACCATTACTTTTCAACCTATTTGTAAATGACTTGAATGATGTTATATTCTCTATAGGAATTTGTCTGTTTGCTGATGATCTGAAGATGTTCAGTCAATCATGATTCATCTAATACTGAATTATTACAGTACGATTTATCTGACTTTGTGCGCTGGTGTGATATAAACTTATTGCAATTAAATATATACAAATGTCATAAACTAACTTTTTTCAGGATCAAAAATCCCACATATAGTCAAGTAATCAGAACTGAAAACAACAAATACAATCAAAGATTTAGGAATCACTCTTGAGTCACTTCTGGAGTACTAAAAATGTTAGGTTTCACTTTTAGATATGCGGTGGAATTATCTCTCTTGAAAATCATATATTGCTCAATTGTTAGATCAATTATCGAATATAACTTCACAATTTGGTGCCCTTCATATAATGTGGATGTTGATTTGCTTGAAAGTGTTCAAAAACAAGTTATGAAGGTTCTCTGCATACAAGCTGGGATATCATATTGGTGAATATAACTACAAAATTATATGCGACATTCTTAACTTGAAAAGTCCTGCTCAAGAAGACTATTTACGTCTGTACTGTATGTTACATATAAACTCATTGTTCCCAGGGAACATTTTCCGTCTACGAAAAATTCTGTGAGGTGATGGACTTCGTTAAAGACAACCTTGAGCACGAAGGCCTCCCTTTCATTCTGTCTGCTCCGACGGGCCACAAATTAGAAGACAACGACAAAGACAGCACCCTTGCAGATCTGTGGCTTGTACCCGCCGCAATTCTGACGTTCCAGTGGGATCCTTCGGTGGAGGAAGACCTCAAAGCAGCTGGCGGTGTGGCTTATCTCAAACCTGAAGTGATGCTACTTGTGCAGTCTCTGTGAATGGTGTTTTTTGAATAGAGAGCGGTGATATTTAGGTTCAATTTCTGTTCTGGTGATTCATTTATTTTTCAGTGCTGGAACCCTTGAAGTATGTTGGAGTTTGAAGTTTCTGAGCTGATTTTAGGTTATTCGGGTTCCTCAAAATCAGTTCATTCATTAGTATTAATTTCATTACAAAACTTACCGTTATAATCTTCCCTCAAAAAAGTTATGAATAGTCCCTTCAAAAATATTTTTGCGTAAGCCTATGCCTTTGAAAGAATGGTAACATTGGTTGTGTTTTAGAAAAATCCTTCATGTATTTCGAATATATAATTTTTTTATTGCAATGTGCTCAGGGTGTATAGCAATGATAATTGAAAGAAGATACTTATTTATGGCTGTGAATCATTTTATTTCTATTGGACAAATTCATGTTTTTTTTAATTATTCCCCAAATTAACAGTCTCTTCATCTTTTTAAGAAAAATGTATGTTTTTGCCTGAAATTAACTTCCAGAATGAGTTTTTTTGTCATTTGATATGTGTAAAATCTTAAGAATACTAACGTGGAAACATTTTTGGAAAACTTCGAAAGATTGGATTCACTTTGTACAAATTGTCATTTGTTTTTACTCTAGTGCTATGAAAGTTAGGAAAAGAATTTAATGAATGTCATGCATGAAATAAAAACATTTCCTAGATATTTCTAGAATTTTTTGGTTTACTATCAACTGATTGGAAAATAAATACCCCATCGTCTATTATATTCTTTGCATTGTATAGTGTATGATTACTTTTTAGAGTTTTCCATGAAGAAATATTGTTCATGTGCCATATCTAAATAAATTTCTTCAATTATTCAAAGAAATGAAGCCTATTTTGATTTGATTTGATAAAACAAAAACGACCATAAGAAGTTATTATAATTTGTTTTCAAGGATAATACCTTATATTGAAAAAACTTCAACGAAATCAGTCCTGCCATAACTTTGTTATATTATATCCCTTAAAAATTAGTTTAGTGCACGCCTATGGCATTCAACGATCAATCCCTCATTTATCTAGGATCTAAAGCACCGTTATGGCATCATTTACTTTTTGTTTCTTGGTGAATAGACAACATTGCAAAGCCAGTATTTTAGCATAGGCGTACAATCAATATTTTCAAAAGGTAGAGAAATAAATTTAATTTTTAGGATGTAAAATATTCATTAAAAGCTTCAGGGTTATGATTTAGGAAACCTATAGGGATCCAGAGGGTGATTTTGAAAGGTGGTATAACTGTGAATTGGTTTCACTTACCCAATATTAAATTATGAAGGACTCGTACACTAGAGGAAAATTTTTTTACCTGTCAATGACCCGTTCTGAAATAAAATTGATACACGTTTGTTTTATTTTAATCCGAAATTACTTGACAACTTTCTCTGTCACATACTTCGAACAATCAGAACAGGAATTGAACCCCCTCTCCCGTAACGCCCGTCTGTTGATCTACATAATTTATTGTATAGTTATAACTATCAAAAAAATATTTTATATTGAGTTGAATATTTTATTACTACACAATTTAAATCTGTTATTCAATTTTTATTGCTAGGTTCACGATGCAAACTACAAATAAATATCGTGTTCTTTGAGAAATCTTTATTTCTATTAGGGTAATCATTTTGAAGCAACATCAGACCCGCCAACTTCGCCAACAAAATTGGTTTTTCCGCTAATCAGTTGCCGTTAATAGGCAAAAGTCGAAACTTCTAAAGGATTAATGCGACCTTACCTTTCAACGTGAGATTCCTATACACCATAAAGATAAAGATACAGTTGTATGAATTGATACTATCCCCAAACACCAGAATTGGCAACACTCTTCTCAACGCGCCTTTCACCAGCCAAGTTAACGTCATCAGGAAATGGAGTATACTTATTCTCAGCTCTAAAGCTGGTCTCTGTTTATATCTAACACTTTCAAAATCAATGATTTTGGGTAGAAATTAGCGAGAAAATGTTTTCCACTATCAGGGTATTTGAAATTGTTCCGTCCTTACCTCTATTCGATTTGTTATCATTTTTCTCTTACCCTGATCATTTCCGAAAGATTTTCTTTGGATTCGACTTCGGACCGCGATATTACTGTGCTTGCCTCCATTTGTGACTAAAACGCGCACCCTGCGTTGCCCACCCGGAAATGAAATCAAAACACCCACTTTATTCAATATGAGTCGCTGAAAATCCCAAGCAGAGCTCAGTTAAATTTAGAAAAATTAGTTCCCCCTACCAAAATCACGCGAAACTACAACATTCATATTCATATCACAGGAAATACAGTCCACGTACACATACACTGATATTCAACAGAGATTAAATTATTAATTGGTCAGTCGGTAGCCGGGCAGTTCGACGTGGGTGCTTTGTTCACTCAGTCAATCGGCCGATGTGCGAGTCGATGGTTCAAGCCGCAGGCAGAACGCTCGATTTTCACTCGCTATCGTCCAACCCGTGTTAAGAATCACACCTTAAAAGGTAAGACCTCGTTAGTCCGTAGCTCGTACAAGTTTCGACTTTTGAGGGTTGTAGTTCGTAGGGGTGCCATAGCTGGTTAACAGAAAAAACATATTTTTATTTTAAACATATTTTCATCATCTGGGTTTAAGACAACGTGTGGTGAAATTCAGCTTTTTGGTGACATCCTTTATTAAATTCAAGAAATGCTATATCTTTCTTCGTGGTGTACAGTTTTGTAATCACTAATCACTACATAGTAAAAAACAAAGTCGCTATGTCTGTCGTTACGTATGCTTAGGTCTTTAAAACTACGCAACGGATTTTGATGCGGGTTTTTTTAATAGAAAAACACTGAGAATTTTGAAGGTTTCTAATGTGATTGTATCGCCAACAACATATGCAGTAATAACTTCAACGAAGAATCCTGTACTGACACCTGTCTGATATAATCCAACGCCCTTCGTGTTATTACCTACCCAAGGGAATAGTTTCATGACAGGTGTCAATCCATTAACATACAATGTAGGGAGTTGAGACTAGCCTAAACGAATTGTTCCTTTAGAGGATTTGATGTATATCCAATCTTCAAGTATGCCCCAATGTGAACATTTTTTGCACTTACATTGCAAACGCTGGCTGAATCCTACGAGATAGAAAAAATACAGATTCAAAATGCAGGGACAGAGCGGTTGCGGCGGTACATGCCTAAAATATCGCGTCAAAGGCCCCGCTTCGCCCTATAGCACTTTATTATTAGCAGCGATTGCATGTTTATATGTATATGTAGTATCAGCATTACACCCGTGCGGAGTCTGGGCGTGTCGCTAGATAGCAATAAATGTGATTCAAGAGGTCATTTATAAATGGGACCATCAAGTACAATAATTTTGAACGAAAAAAAAAAACTTTGTCCTCCATATCTACTTCAGAAAGTTTCTAATAGGACCTGGATTGGAAAGTTTATTTCAAGGACGTTTTTTTTTTCATATTTTTTCAAGCAGAAAGAAGCAAATCAAAATTCTGTATTTCCTTCTCTGGTGTCAAACTGGGCAATTTTTTCTGTTCCTACTTCAAACTGTCGCCGGGAGGTAAATATGTACTGTTTAGACCTTCCTCATATAGTCTATCTCTGATGACGCCAATGGGGTTGGTGAAACGCATGTCAATAAGAGTGTTCTGGAGAAATATTTTTTATCTGTTTCACAGGAAGACAGTAAAATAAAAAAAATGCTAGATTAGCATCGGTAAAATGTTTTCTGAAAGTTCAGTTGGTACAAGTTGATCCGAATCAAAATGCTGTATGTTATTATTGAACCTGTTTGTTATATCCTTGAGTATAAGAACCTTTCTAAGGAACAAATGTAATGATCTAAAGAAAATATTAATATTTCAAGTGCTAAAAATACCAAAACTGAATTATTCAGAGGAATTAGTTGAAAAAAGAATATGATATCAAAAAAATTTTAAAAACAAGGAGTATAAATTTCGAAAATATAAGAACGCTAATTTATAAAGAAAACAAATTATTGTGACCGGAAATGTAAATCAATCAATATATAGGTTGAATAATAAATAAAACACAGATTTGAAACTGCTATTTCTTTTTCTTTTGATTGATATTGTTTGTATTTCAATGATATTTCATATTTGTTTGAAGGTGGTTGACAATGTTACTTGGTGTATTTCATCAGTTCGGACTTCCATTGTCTAATATAATATAAATTGATTTAAAAACCCTGAAAAAACAATTAAAAAATTAATGAGATTACCCGAAAATAACAATTTCATTAAACGAAAAACAAATTACGAAGAAATAACAACCAAACAAATAAAAATTAAAATATTAATGAAAGCTGAAAAATAAAAAAATCATTATTATTAACAAAAAATGAAAAATTAAAAGATTTCAAATCAAGTTATGTCACGACGTTTCGATTGTTAGTATCCACAATCGTCTTCGGGTGATAACTGGACTTATTCCTCCGAGATCTGAATATTTATAGGTCGCTCCAGTGCTTTCACCTATCACCTCTTCACTTTTTCCGCTTCATTGGTTTTTAGCGGGAGATGACCGTTTGGTGGGAATTGGTCGTTTTTCGCTTGATTAGAGGTTTTCATATGTTACGTATCTCTACGCTAGCTTGACTAAATGCGTTGTTGGACAAAATATACGCGGCTTCTTTGAATTTTCTCCTAGAAGACAGCAAGAACTCCACAAGGAAGAGAAGCCGCCACAACCAGTACTTGTACTTCTCTACATCAGAGGATTATCGGAAAGGATAAGAAGGATTGGGTCCAAATACAACATCAGGACCTGCTTCAGATCTGGGAACACTATCCGTAGCAGTCTTACAAAAATCAGGCCACCAAACGCGGACTGCGATTCCAAGAATTGCATTTACCGGGTACCCTGCGAATGCGGAGAATCATACATCGGTGAAACTAAGAGGCCATTGAAAGTTCGCATTGCTGAGCACAAGAAACACACACAGCGAGGAGAAACCAGCAAATCCGGAATAGCAGAGCATGTTTGGACTCATCAACATAACATCAAGTGGGCTCAAGCTGAAATCATCCACAAAGAGGAACACTGGTTCAGGAGGAAATTCAAAGAAGCCGCGTATATTTTGTCCAACAACGCATTTAGTCAAGCTAGCGATATGTAACATATGGAAACCTCTAATCAAGCGAAAAATGACCAATTCCCGCCAAACGGCCATCTCCCGCTAAGAACCAATGAAGCGGAAAAAGTGAAGAGGGGATAGGTGAAAGCACTTGAGCGACCTATAAATAATCAGATCTCGGAAAGTCCAGTTATCACCCGAAGACGATTGTGGATACTAACAATCGAAACGTCGTGATATAACTTGGTTTGAAATCTTTTTATTTTTCATTTTTTGTTAATAATAATGTTTAATTTTTATTTTTCAGTTTTCATTAAATTTCAATTTTTATTTGTTTGGTTGTTGCTTGTATGTTATTTCTTCGTAATTTCAGTTTTTCGTTTAATAAAATTGTTATTTTAGGTAAATCTTATTAATTTTTCAATTGTTTTTTCATGGTTGTCAAATCAATTTATATTATATTAGACAATGAAAGTCCGAACTGATGAGATATTTCATATGTTGTTCAACCCATTTATCCAATCAATTTCCATTTCAGGTCAGTGTTCACAATTTTTTATTCAACAACTTATTATTCTTATATTTCTGGATTTCATATTCATTGTTCAGTTCTACTCATTCAATTTTTTTCAACTAACTGGTTCAAATATTATGATCGCGGTATTTTCAATTTTTCGTTCATTTTTGATGCATTTCAAATCTCGGCATCTCTCAACGTAAGTATTGAAAAAAATGGTGGAGATATTTCGGATGATGTCCTTAACTACAAAAACAACTGTAGATAATGAACATGATTTCCCAGAGAATACACATGGATTGGAAGTTATCTGTTTTTCACAGGGTGTTTCCGATTGTTTGTCCCACCCATTTTATTATTCGACTAGCAACTTGAAAACCTTGAAATAAAAAAAAAGGTTAGTGGTCCCCTTGAGAGTAAAAGGGATGGTTTTAGACAGTTTTATAATGTGGAATTTAAAGTAATGTAATTCATTATTTAAATTGTTTTTCAGCAACTCTGTCTTGTCAAATCTTCAAAGTCAGTTTGCAAAGGATAATCAAGTTCGATGTGTACAAAACTCTAACACGTAATGATTTTAAAATAATTTGAAATATAAACTATTAGTCATTTCATTATCTTTATTGACGTCAATCAGATACAATCTCACTTTAATACTAGTTCGGAATTCCATTGTCTAGTATGATTCGAAATCTATGAAAGAACAAGCTGAAATATCAATTATATATGAGCAATAAAACGTGAAATGATAATACCATGAAAGGAATGAAATAATCAAGATAAAAAATGAAAATGACCACAGAGTAAAAAGAAATTTTGAAAAATCGAAAGATTACAAACCAAGTTCCTTCACGACGCCACATACAAACTTCAGCGGTCAGCACTGTGGTCCCAATTTCCCTGCTCCTCAGGTAACGGACTGGGGAGTAGTCATATCGAGAACGTGGCGTCAAGTCATAAAACCCTTACAGCGTGTAACTACCTGAAGAGTAGGCAGACTGAGACCTCAGTGGACTCGTACTTTCTTGGAAGTAGCTTCAAAGTCGAAGCCGAAAAACTTTCAAAGTATTAGAGGCAGTTCAACCCGGACTTTTTAGTTTTCCAACGTTTCAGCTTCGACTCTGAAGCCATTTTCAAGAAAGAACGAGTCCACAGAGGTCTCAATCTGCCTACTCTTCAGCTAGTGACACGCTGTAAGGGTTTTGTGGCTTGACGCCGGGTTCTCGATCTGCCTACTCGCCAGGCCAAGTCACTGGTCTCCGCAATAGAGACAATCTGCCTACGAAGCTTGAAAATAACGAGTTTCAAGTTCAGCTACCGAGCTGCAAGTTCAGCAGATGCTAGTATGTCGATTGCGAAACATTTATTTTGCTTCCTGATAGAGGTGACAGAAGGTCCAGAAGCGTTGCAGGTTCGCTATAAAACGTATCCAATTGAGAGGAGGTTATATTCGATTATAATTTTGGCTGTCAAATTCTATTGGCTTCTATAGTAGGCTAAGAATTATTCAATGCATCCTAGTATTTGAAATCATGATGAGTTTTCTCAATAACACCAACCTGAAAAAGTTATTTGTTGTATCTCTTGATTGAGCACCTGAAAAATTCACACCATTTTTTGAACAGTCCAAATAAATGACTTGGTAATGCTTGCTGAACACAATGAAGTTATCAATTCTGCAGATGACGGTGCCATATTTGTCTCAGCCAATTTTCATGAGCTAACAGCAATCGCTGGCTAGTCTATGATTTCAATCCAGAACTGGTTTACCAATTCATAAACAAATTACTGGTTATACAAAATGTCTGGATCCTCCGGGAGAAGGAAATATTAAGAGCAGATAGTTGTTGGTTCAAAGATGGATTAAAAACAGCTTCCGGTTCTGGTGCAGGTGTGTTTTCAGTCACAGACCCAGGACAGAGATATCAACCTGCCTGTATTTCAAGCGGAAATTTACCCTATTGAATTGCGTACGGAAAGATTAAAAGAATCCAACCACATACACAAGTCAATAAAAATATTCTCGGACAGTCAAGCGGCGTTGGCAACTCTTGGCTCCTACCGAGCAACATCTAAATTGGTAGCAAATTGACAAAAAAGATTCTCCTCAACAGGAAGACTTAACAGATTGTCTCTGGTCTGGATTCCTGGCCAGGGATGAACTACGATGTCTAACAGGCCTTCTTACAGGTCACTGTCATTTGAATCATCATATGCAGAAACTCGGACTGTCGGAAGACAGTGTGTGTCGCCTCTGTTTGGAAAATGATGAAACAGCAGAGCACATACGTTGTGCCTGCCCCGCTGGGGACCGAATCAGGTTTTTAGAGGCGTGAGCCACAATAAACCCTTGCGGGTTGCGATGGTGGGTCGAATAGATCCACTTAATTTGGACCTACACAGAATGTCACATTTATGAAAGTCATATTGAATATGTTTTGGTCTCAGGATCCTATACACGAACTTTATCATAAATATGACTGGAACATTTAAATTCTCTAATTTCTATAGTCGTGCCAGATATGGTATTATACGTTGAGGTGGCAATACCAAGACTGAATGGATTTTTAAAATACAGAAAAGAGAATTCGTATCATAAATTATTTAAACTTTTCATAATTAATGTAGAGGTTGGATGGAACTTCTGACGACACCGGCCCTATAAATTTTTTATATAAAAAAAACCAGCAATGTTATGTGGCTTTCGTAAAATACTCATATGGCATGTATGTAATTATAATAGACCTCTAGTACTGAAAAAAGGTGCTTTATAATCCTGCATAAAATTTCATATTCATCTACCAATAATTATTGAGAAAAATAGAGATTCTCTTCTAGGCTAGCCATACACTATTGAGGATTACCTCCAATTTGTATTTTGTATTATTGTTTTTGTATTTAGTAAAATGAGTTTTGAACCTGTGAATAAATAAATAATTATTAATTCAGTTCAGGTTCTCTACTTAGCCAATTTTTGTTGATACATCTCTTTAACATGTTTTTCACTGCAATTAAGTTATCATTATTACTAAGTTAGCAGTGTTAACAAAATTAGGCATTCTGAACGTTTTTTGATCATTTTATTTTAAATATGCTTCAGAATGCATATTTATTTAATAAACTATCTGTATTTTTTCTAGTAGGGGTCTTTGATGGTTTCAAGTGTTTCAATTGATGTAGACAAGGATATTTGGGCTATAATGATGGTGAATATGATTGGTATGAAAACCTAAATCAATATGATTTTTGTTACTGAAATTTTGAAAGAATACGAGAAAACAGCTTGATGTATTTTGTGCCTCTTTTTATGTGCAAATACACATTTAAAAGTGAAATAAAAAAAAAATTGAAAATGAGTAACTTCAAGAAACTTCCCTGTTTTTTATATGTTCGGAACACACAGAAAACTTACCCCGACCCTAGATCATTCATAGCTCAACTGTAAAAAAAATTACAGACTATAGCCATCCTCTATTATCTTCCAGTACCACAAACTTTTCGATTTCACCACTTTGCCAATTGTCACAGAAAAATTAAAATGATCTGAAAGTTTACTGATCACTAAAAAAAACTTTCACCTGATGTTCTTAAACATTACCACATTTTTTTTATTGGACCACTTCAAAAGGCAACTTAGAAAAAGAAAAAACTCACTTTCACCTCAACAAAGAAAAATTATAAAAAAATACACTCTCACCCACACAAAAAACAACACCATTTCTTAAAGAACTTTTCTATTTCACAAGCACAGTAATACATGGTACAGAGACATATCATGTCGTCCGTAAAGTACGGACTCGACCATGCGAGAACACCGAAAACTTAACACTACCATCACAAAATGTCAATTGAAAGAATCCAAAGTACAAGTTTTCAATATTATCGACTACACTACACTTATACACTGTGATCGATGAAATTTACAGTTCTTTCACATACTAAAACGATTTTTTTACACTGAACAAGAAATTAAATATCGTAATGGGAAAGAACTGCAGGCCACTAAAAATATCCCACTTCACAAGATACAGAGCGTTGATTCGTTAGTGTACACTTTGAGTAAAATTGAATACATGGAATTTTAACACAGCTTTCGTGGCGTTTTTAACGCTGATCACCAATTTCCTGAAATAAACTGCCGTTAGAAATATATTTGGAACCCTCAGTAAGGCCCTGGCTCTGATGTGTGGTTCGAATGTGAGTGTGTGGGCAAAAAAACAGTGTATCAATTATATAACTAGTGATATAAAGGTAGTTCTTCAAAGTATAGTTAAAATATTGCTATAGTAAGCGTAAAGCATGAACCGAAGGTAAAAGTCAAAAAACGTGGCAACATCAGAAGATCACAGGTATTCCAACTGTTTTCATCATTCTAAACAAGCCTGAAGAAACTACTGTATAGCGAAACACGTGTTGCTTTTATGTAAAACTGTGTATTGAAAATCTCACAATTCTATTCTATTCTCACCACTCCAGGATCAGTTTATAAAATATGAGGGATGTTCGAAAAGTTTTAGTTATTCACATAGTAACATAAGTAGACCAACGTAGAATTCTGGTTAAATCTTTTGTTTGGCTCACTACAGCACTTTCTAATAACTGAAAAAAAACTAGAAACTAGAAAAGAGTGTTCTTTATTGCAATAGAACTTTGTAAAACCTCGTACTGCACACAGAACAAAGACTTTTCTGAACAACCTGCACTGGGAATTGCTTCCAATGAGTTGGCAAGAATCTCCCCAATCTATAAAAAAAGATTCTCAGAACTCCCTCAAAACTTCAGGCAAATATCAATCTTGCCTTGCTTTTCAAAATTATTAGAAACTATTCTGTATAATCAACTAGTTAATTACTTCAATAAGAACAAAATCCTGAGTCCTCAGAAGTATGGTTCTAGGAAAAGTATGTCCACTTTGGATGCTATCAAGTCATTAACTCGTGCTATAAAAACCAGTTTCGAAAGAAACGAAAAATTTTTGGGAACTTTCACAGACCTAAGTGCAGCTTTTGGTTGTGCTTTTGATTTCAAGTAGTTTGTATTAAAAATCAGAGAAGCAATCCTCAGACAATAAGTAGAGGAGTTCCTCAAGGATCAATATTGGGCCCCCTTCTCATTATTATCTATATTAATGATTTGCCAAATACATTCACCTCAAATATCGAGACAATTATGTATGCTGATGACACCACATTTGGCATCAGTATCAATAAACGGGAGTGTCCGGCTACAATCCTTGGGGAAGTTATGGAACAAGCAAATTACTCTCTGATAATTTTTGTAAAGTTACTATATGTCAAACAAAACATTAATAGTTACTCTGTTGTGTCCGATATACACGGTCACAATACTAGAAATAAAGATAATTTGATTATACCTCAAACCCTGTTACAAAGAATGCAAGATACTACTGATATCAAAATGTACAATGCCCTACGTCTCACAGTACGTTCTCTGAACTTTACTTAATTCAAAAAACATTTAAAGACATTACTTACGGAAAATCCCCTATATAGTATTAATGACTTTTTCTATTCATTCCCTGGAACATAGAGCAAAGATGCCTTGCACGATTCTATGAATGTACTGTATTATTATTATTATTGCACAATATCTTCTGAAGATTTTATATTTTACTTTTTGAGCATATGTTAATTTCATTGTATTTTGTGACATGTTCTGAAGCTGTTGCTTTGTTATGAAATACATAAAAATTTGAATTTGAATAAGCCTAACTCACCAGATCTGGCTCCTAGTGATCATAATATTTTCTCGCATATGAAGAACTGCAGGTTATTGGATTTGAGAGCACACAATGAAGCAATAAGTGAATTCAATTATTTGAAGGTTATTCTGAGAAACTATTTCAAACTTCTGATGAAAATCAACAATATACTTAAATCAACAGCCAAATTCCTAGACCTTTCAAGCATCCCCTGCGCATCTCTCAAACTGCAAGATGAATTCAATTGGAAAATAAGCTTTGTCTCAAACATGGAGATGGAAATGGTCAAAAATTTGAAAAATATTCCGATAAAACATTGTACTTTGAACAGTATGACAATAAATTATTACTTATAATGCCAGAAAACACCTGCCTCAACTCCTGATGTTACCACACTTCCGCCTAAACAAAAAAATAATCGACCATACTTTTCGAACCATCTCAAGTCAAAACAATGATAAAACTACCCCTTATATAACATTAAAAAAAATTATGCTGTACCCCCACGTACCACTACAATGATCAAATGATCTTCCTTGATGGCTTCTTCCGACAAGTTGGGGCACGATCTCTTCAGTAGCTCAGTAGAGAAAGGACAAGGGGGGAAAGAGTACAGGACGCCTGTCGCTTCAGTTTCTTTGTTCAGCAGCGAAATAACTCCGGCGGCTTCCTTCTGCTTGAGATACGACACCAAATTCCTTAGAGGCCGAGTTTGGACGGTTGCGTCGTCATTAGTTACGGACGCTGTCGAACCGGCCAGCCCCAGGAAGATAGCGTGCGAACTGGCACTAGAAATGCGCTTCTGCACATCTTCCAATTTGGGCTGGTCCAGTCTGAGACGTTGCGTTATCCTCAACTGGTGCTTGCCGTCTTCGTCTTTCATCAATCCGTCAACAATATCAGTGTCCCCATCCATCAGGTGGAACTTGGCAGGAAAGAGGGAGTTTTTGAGGATCAGGGCCCCCTGCCAGACGGTGTTGCACTTTCTGGCGACCTCGGGCAGGGTACGACTGGAGGCTAAAAGGCCAGCTCTACGAGAACCACTGTCAGAATCAGAATCGGGCGAGCGCCTAGGCGATCGTGACCTGGATCTGTCCACGCCCCTGGATCCGGAGCGCCTGCGGTCATACTCTGGATCCCTGATTCTGCCAAATTCGTCCTCGACCCCATCGGGATAGCGGTACGGCCCTCTGCTACTCCCTCTGCCTCTATCGGGGAATCCTCTTCTGTATGCTGCGTTGTAGTCAAAATCTCCTTCAGGGTCCCTTCTGTAATCATCAGCATACGGGGCCTTGGGTCTGAAGTTCACTCCAGGAGTGACATCAGCAAAGTCAGTCCTGAGCCGCCTCTCAGGTCCTCCCAAGGGAAAACCCCTCATTTCCTTCACAGCAGCTTGAGCAGCATCGATGCTGTCATAGAGGATTAAAGCCTGATTGTCGCCTTTGTCATAGTCGATTTTTTTTATGGCTCCAAACCTGTCAAACTCCCTCTCGAGCTGCGGTACCGAAGTCCACGGGCCGAGGCCTCCCACCCAGATTCTGGTTGTGGGGGTGGCTTTGCCGTACCCAATTTTGCACTGGAACTTTCCGATGTACTGTCCTGACAGCTCGACCTTGGCCCTGTGGGCCATGTCCAGCGTGTTGAAACGGACAAAAGCAAAAGCGTTACCTGTTCCAGGAGGAGGTCTCTTGATATCGATGTCTTCAACGATGCCATACCTGTAGCAAAATGAAGGTTCATTTGTGAATTCATGCAAAATAATAGAAAACTATATATTTACAAGACAAGCGGTGAATGAATAAAAAAGATCAATTACAAATTATTGTTGTAACCATAGTTGGTATTGTAATAGAATTTTATGCTTCTAATTGATAATAATTGATTATTGTGCTAGTCTTTTATGATATTTATTTTCAAGACTATTAATAATATGTTACTATCTTATTTTGATGAATTCATTACTTATCGTGATAGTACTCACAACTATGAGACAAGACAAAGTTATCATTTTCACTTGCCAAGAAGGTTTAAAACATTTTAATGAGCTGCCAAGAGACATAAAACAAAGCGAAAGTATTTATATATTTAAATCTAAACAACTATATTAAGACAAACACAATTTTGTAAAAAAAAGATTGAATGATGCAGAACATCAGTAGTCTTAAATCTTAACATTTATTATCATGTATCAGTATGTTTTAAATTGTTAATATAGTCTTATCTAGGTTAGTTAACTTTGAATTTTGTTTCCTTTTCCATTTTATTTCTCAACATTGTTAGGTTACAGTCATATGTATGACTCTAGTTATTAGTTATTATTATTGTTGTTTATGGACATATTATTATTGTTTAGTGATTTATTATTATTATTGTATATTATTATATTTGTATGTATATTAGGATTTCCTAAATAAACGTATTCGTACATTTTATACTCATTTGACCAAAATTAGGTATCGGCTTTACAAAAGTTACAGAATCGTGGAATGAGGATAATTTTACGAGTGAATAGGTATAGCAGTATATCAAACATGTTAAATACATTGCAGTGGCTGTCTGTTTCCCAGAGACTATACAAGTTAGTAATTATATTCATTTTCAAACTAACACATAACTTGCTTCCAACTCATTTTGAAGAATTCTGTATATACAAATCTCAAATCCATAACCACTTAACAAGAACAAATAGCTCCCAAAAATTCCACCTTCCTCAAACTAATTCGACTAGTACGATGAAGTCTTCATTTTATAAAAATTTGAATGAGTTTAACAAACTCCCATTTTCTTCTCCCAGGCATAAATATATTCTTCAAATTTTAGTTTACTATCGATATGTACTCCTAAAAATTTTAAGCTACTTTTGTTCTCAATGATGTTACTCCCAATGGGTATATTGTCAAGTTCGCATCTGAAAGTTACTATATCAGTTTTCAAAATATTTAGAGAAAGACGATTTGAATCACACCAATTTTTCACTGTCATCATATCGTTGGATATGATTTTAGTTAAATCGTTTGCATTGTCCAACTGCCAAAAAATAGTAGTATCATCTGAAAATAGTGTGAATTTACTTGTCAAATCGTTGAAGTAGATGAGGAACAATATTGACCCTAGTATTGAACCCTTAGGTACACCCTTATGTATTTCTCCAATTTCTGAGCGGTGGTTTGTTTCCACCATCTGGCTACGACCTGACAAATATGAGCTGAACCAGCTCAGTATCACTCCTCTGAAACCGTAATAAGGAAGCTTTCTCAGCAGTATTTCGTGGTCCACACAGTCGAAAGCCTTCGAGAAATCACAAAATACTGCAGCAGCAACCTCGCCACTACTGATTCCAGTATAAATTTTTTCCATGACTGAGAAAATTGCATCATTATGTTATTATGTTATTCATTTATATATTTTTAAAATAATGTATGTATATTAGGATGTCCATCTGTTAAATTGGTCTACAACTTTCATAATATCCATTACTACACCAAAGGTTCCAAACAGTACATCATAAGTATCATTCTTAGCAGTCATTTCTGAGAGATGAAAACTCCAGAGAATTCCTTGGCACATCTCCAAGCCACTATGTTCAAACTGATGTGTTTTCATCAATACAGACTTAGATTTATTTAAAATCAGTTTGTAAGTTGACTGAATTTATCAATAACTAAATTTATTTTGATTGATAACTCATTTTTGTTTTGTCCAGCATGAGTGATGGCAGGTTTGTCAGCATGTATTTACATTTATGTGACAATCTGATATGAATTCAGGCAAGTCATTGATAAAAATCAAGAATAACAATGGACCCAGAACAAATCCTTGTGGAACACCTAATTGCACTTCATAAGGAACTGATGTAATTCCATTAAGGCAAAAAACAATCATCACCTCAAATTTATTTCCAAAAGAAAATTGATGATGGGAGTATGTATATGCCCGAAACATGTATTGTCCAGTTTTTGAAAAAAAAAATTGTCGATATATCTTTGTTTTTTCAGCTTCGACAAGAAATATCAGAAATTGTGCTTTCATAAGATCCATTCTTGAATATTTTTCGGTTATATGGGACCCATACTATAATGTAAATATCGATTTGATTGAGAATGTTCAAAAGAAATTCTTAAGGAATTGTGCTTTTCACTTTGGTATTCAACGAAATGAATATGAATGAGTACAGTTAATTCTTAACCAAGTTCAATATAAAATCATTGGAAGATAGGAGAATTTCTATGAACTTGAGTTTCCTCTTCAAATTAATAAATAGTGAGATAAACTGCTCAGAACTAGTTCAACTAAACTTTTCATATCAAACAAAAAGATACGAGAAACCCTGACATGTTTTGAACAGTCCGATGTCTCGTATTTGGAAGCTGAGAAATCAATATCATAATAACTTAGATCTGTTCGAAGTATCACTTCAGGTCTTTAAAAAATCAATTGAAAATGCTATAGCTTTTTCGAAGCTTTTCTTTACCTTACAAATTTCTTTGTAAGTACTAGATTTGTTACATCTTCTTTCTTGTAAGTACCAGAATTGTTTCATCTTTTAGTAATATAGTCACTAGACAGAAGTATTTATTAATATTTTGTATTAGTCACTTTGCTAAATGTTTTGTAAAATTGTAAATTGTAATGTAGACATCAGACATGAGCATTCAAAAGTACTTTGTTGTAGTTCCTCACACGTTGTTAAATATGTTTTTGTAAATTGGCTTTGCCGTTGAATAAATAAATAAATAAACATTATGGTTGTATTACAGAAGTATATTTACTCCTGGATTCCATAAACGAATAAATATTTACATTACCTGCTAAATATCCTTCTGAGCTCCTCTTCCGTTATGTTTATTTCCAAGTTGCCAGCAAAGAGTGTTCGGGTAGCCAAAGGGTCGTCTTCAGGTTGAACATGGTGCAAGTAGTTCGGAAACTTGTCTTTTTTGTTTTCCTGCTTCTCGAAGGGGGAACGCGGGACGTGTTGCCTCGGCGGACCATACCCATGCACCGGAGCCATATGGGCGGGGTGGTGCATAGGGGGCCTGGCAAGATAATCATGATGGGGTGCCGGCAGAGCCTCTCGTCTATACTCGCGGTGCACAGGGACACCAGGAGGCACGGCATAGGCCCTATCATAGCGCTCGACGGGGCGCAGACGGTCGGGGGACCTCGCGTAGTAATGTCTGTCATAATCAGGACTGATAGAGCGGGGCCTGCTGCGGTATGCTTCGCTTGCACGAGGCACTTCATACACCGCCTCGACCAGAGCTACCTTGTCATAGATAATAACCCGTGGTTTGCCATGCTTGGCATCCCTTGCGTCTTCCGGGTTCCTGAAACAGACATAGGCCACACGTTCGTCCAGATCATGCGTGACCCTGATGCTCAGGTCGCCGTACTTTTTGTATTCTCTGTACAGGGTATCCTTAATAACTTCATCACTTGCCTTCGGGTGCAGGGCGCTCACGCACAGGACTTTGTAGTGGTATGAGCGCTCCGGGGGGCGCATGTAGTCGTCGCGGTGGGGCGAAACGTACCGAGCCCTAGGGCTGGGAGAACGAGCGCGGCTGCCGCGGCGGCGGATCCTATCGGGGGTGATTCTCTCGTCGGAACTGTCGTCGTACCGCCCCATGCTCGATCTGGATCTTTTGCTACGTGGCGGAGTGTCCCTATCACTACTTCTTTTCATATTATGAATCCTAACTGTTATTTTGTCCTTTCCAGAGGCTATCATACGCACTGCACACACCAGTTACAGACACTTGGCACTCCTCTCCTAAAAACACAAGCAAAACACTCATTTTCGAACGCATTCACTAAAAATAACTACTTATTAGTTAAGGAAAAATGATAAGACATACTTCAAACTACACAGCACTGTGTATACAATAATTTCCACTTCGCTTTAGGCAAAAATTTGTAGGTACCTTCCTTAAACGCCAACACGTACAACAAAATGGCAGAAATTTAATTGAAAATGATGCTCAAAGCCATAGAAGGAGGCCACAGAATCACAAAACACAAACAGAGATTTTTCTTTCTTATTTCTTATCTTTATTTTGGCCACAGTATACTTATATATGAATATACTGTGTTTTGGCCTTAATTCCTAGGGAGACCTAGACACGTTTCGTTAACAACATCAGGTAGAATCACAATCTCACCAGATAAATTTTCAATATGAATAATTATTGACATTATATCATTATTGACACGAGTCTACTTTCGTTTATGCATTTTGAAATTCCAACTCCCAGTTGGAAACGTAATCTGAAACGTAATAATATATTGAACATTTATGATGCAACGAATCAAGAATCCCAAGAATCCTCATATTGGGGAGAATAACGAAGTGAAGACATTTAGGTTTCATAATCAACAGTTAACTCAGGTACAACATCAATTATGATCATAAGGAATCGCAATTACGAGCTATCTGACTCCAATTGTTTCATTCACTTATTGTATTGTCCATAATAATAATTATACAATTTTCAAAAACATTTTTATTTCTGGACGCGTTTCGCTAACATTATAGCTTTCTTGGTAATGGAAGCACTGTAGTTTTGAAAATAACACAAAGTTGTTGTAGAACAGTAAAAGAATAATGAAAACTGAACAATTGACCTTATTAAGTGATGCGACCTCATGATTGCTAACTGCGGTAAAATAATGACATTTGACAATTTGACATTTGCTAATAAATAAATAACCTATCTTTCTGAGTTCCTTCTGCATTTTCCTTTTTGGTAAATGAGAAACTGATTTCCAGAATATGGCCGAAAAGAGATTTCCAGTCGTCCTATATGAAGTTGGGGCTCCAGAATGAAGAATCAGCTATGAAGAAATATGTCCCAAAAATGAAAATGCAGAAGGAACTCAGAAAAATAGGTTATTTATTCATTAGCAAATGTCAAATTGTTTAATGTCATTATTTTACCGCAGTTGGCAACCATGGGGTCGCATCACTTAATGAGGTCAATTTAATAATTCTATCGGTCCATATTCGAAGACGGTCTTTCTAATGTTGAACCAGTTCAAAATAAATAGCCGAATGAAGAACTATTTATATAATTGATATGCATATATATGCATGATAATGCAGAGTATACAATAGGGCGTATAAATTTCAAACGATTATTTTTCTCATGTGTTAAAACACAAGGACTATCTTTCTGTCCGTAGGGCAACAAATAGTGAGGCCAACATATGCATGCCAACGAACATACCAAAAATTCTTAGGTTAGGTATAATTTTTAGGTTAGATTTGTATTTCATATTTTAATTTTCAAATATTATTGAAAAACATGGAATTGTTTGTAGTTAACAGGTAAATACAATTTGAAAACAAAAAACATTTGATACTAACGTGTAATTTCAACAGGCATGAGGGTGACGAACCCAAGGAAACCATTGAAGATGACGAGAAAGCAAAACTTGATAGAATCCTCAAAAAAATCGACAGGAATAAAAAACTTCGTCAGAGACAAAAAGAAAAACAAAACTTCATCGCTGCTAAACAAAGAGAAACGGCAGAATCGAGACAAATTAGAAGACAAATAAAGGCTTCCATAGTACCAGTACCTGAAAACAAAAACGAAGAATTCATCGATGAAGACGTTAAGGAACACATTGAAGAAGGTAACGAAGAAATTGAAGGAGATGCAGATAAATCACCCAAGAAGAAACCTAAATTAGACCTCAAAGACTTGGAAGGTTTCACAATATTGGGCGCCGACAGCTTTGCTAGGAAAAGTAAGGTAAGGAAATGAAAACTGGAAAAATGTATAGTAATTACATAATATAAAAATAGTTTCCAATACTTGATTCTGGATATAAAATTGTTATAAAGCAACATAAACCACTATTATGAAGTAGGAAAAGTTTGTACAAAATCTTAAGGCCTACAGCTTTTGATTATGTTCAACACAAATTCTTTCTCTACCAGCTCTATAAATCTGAAGTGTAATTCATACTCGTGTCCATGAAATTAATATTTATGGCAATACATTTGTTTCATTATCTATGTTGAGGTAGATAGAATTGGAACCTAGTATATAAAATTATTCTAAAGTACATTTGCTGATGTTCATGTGTAAATTGTTTTCAATACACCACCTATTCAAGCTATTTCAATCGTGTTTATAACATTTTCAGGTTAAAAGAATATTGCCAAATTGGCTAGCGAATCCCACAGTCATCTCAGTTAACCTCCAAAATCTGCAGACGAAAGTATCTGACATCAAATTACTCGATAAGGGAATTAGGAAACTCCTCAAAGCCAATGGCGTTGAATACTTCTTTCCCGTCCAAGCAGAGGTGATTCCTTGGTTGCTGACAAGCATAAAAAATACTGATGTGATGTTTCCGAGAGATATTTGTGTATCGGCACCCACAGGAAGCGGAAAGACACTAGCCTTCGCTTTACCCGTGATACAAGCATTGAAGAAGTATACAGTGAAAAAAATCAGAGCTTTGGTTATTTTACCCACACAAGATTTAGCTCTGCAGGTCTTCAAGACTTTCAAGATATATTCTCAGAATACAAGTATTGATATTTGTCTTGTAACAGGAAGCAATTCGTTTGCTGTTGAGCAGTCGCAGTTGATATCAGACAGTAAGTGGATCAAGCGCAGAGTGTATCAATAATTCTTGGTTGACAATAGCTGTGTTCCTAGTTGAGAAAGGGTGAAACAGGAAGCCATGAAAGCTTGATTACAAATATAACTATGATTCATTTGCTAAACATATTATTAAAGTTTCATTTTTTAAAATGATTATCTTCAAAAGAGTTTGTTTGGGTTTATACCGAGTGGTTCGGAAGTTATGGTGGGAGATCTACAGAGGAAAAATTCATAGTATGTTCCAATAAAAAACCCACACATTCATCACATACCCTGTATATAAGTGATAAGTTTCAAAACATATTTTTCATCCACGTGTTGATACACCTGTATACAGAATATAAAAGTTTCTGGTTCCAAAATAGTTCTTTTCGGCGCAACTCTCATGTTCAAATTTAATTTTCAGACAAAGCTTTCGGCTCCTTGACCAAAGCAGACATTTTGGTTTGCACCGCAGGTCGGTTGGTGGATCACTTGAAGTTGACCAAAGGATTCAGTCTTGCTAATTTGGAGTTTATCATCATCGACGAGGCAGATCGAGTGTTGGAGAATGTTCAGAATGATTGGTTGTACCATTTGGAGAAACATATCCATCAAGAAGGTGAGTGAACAATAGTTTGGTTTGGTTAGGATTGGTTTTTCTGGCACTGATGAGCTTTTTTATTAAATTCCAGAGTCTAATTCGCAAACCGGAAGATTATTGAATTTGTCAACCTTACAAAAGCCAAGACCACCTCAAAAACTATTGTTTTCTGCCACCCTATCACAGGACCCGGAGAAGCTCCAGAAATTGTCTCTTTTCCAACCCAAACTGTTCACGTCTGTTGTGGAAAATGTAGAAGACAGTATAAGCACCGATAAACCTTCTATGGATACATTTATAGGGAAATACACCACACCCAGCGAACTCACAGAGAAATACATCGCTACATCTTTAGAGCTCAAGCCGTTGTTCTTGTACAAGTTCATAAAGTTGGAAAAACTGACGAAGTCTTTAGTTTTTACCCACTCTGTTGATAGTGCTCATAGACTGGCAATACTCTTGAGGGCTCTGTTTGGAAACGACTTGAAAGTGGAGGAAACATCTTCAAATTTGCAGGGAAAGAGCAGGAAGCAGCTCATAGAGAAGTTTTGTAGCGGAAAAATCGATATGTAAGTAGTTTTTATCATATTTCAACTCTGAATTTCAAAAGCCATAACAGTAAGAAATTGCCCAAATGGCGCTGGTACCTCAGGCTAACAAATTTTAGAAGAAGATTGTCTTACATCCTCTTCTATTTTGTATATTGTGGCCAAAGTGGCAAAAGCAATTCAGTCATTGGCTAATTTCCTATAGAAAATCAGTTGAAAAAATTAATTGTTTTTCATTTTCAGATTAGTTTGTACAGATGCCCTAGCTAGAGGAATCGATCTTCCTGGTGTTCAATGTGTAATTTCTTATTCAGCTCCTAGATACCTCAAAACTTACATTCACAGGGCTGGTAGGACAGCCAGAGCTGGTGAACCAGGGTTGGCTGTTACACTTCTCAACAAGACGCAAATATCAAAGTTCAAAGGAATGCTGTCTCAAGCAAATAAAAGCAATATCGAGGAGGTGAGGAATTCTATTTAGTATAATGGCAAAATTTTCAGACCTTTTAATGGTGAACAAATATACAATAACTATTGCTCTTCTTTTGCAGCTTACCATTCCTGAAGATGATTTAGAACCTCTTGGTGAAAAATATAAAGAATCGTTGCAGGAATTGAAAAAGATTGTTGATAAAGAAGAAAAATTAGATTTGGAACGAACATTATCTGCAAAAGGATCTAAGAAAAGGAAAAGAAAAAATTCTATCAGCAGTAGTATTAGTAAATAAATCTGTATAAAATATATCCACTTATTATTTTACTTTTTTTTGGCATTATTCTGTTGGACTATAAACAGTGTTCTTGAGGGCGATACGAAATTGGCATTTTGGTTTTTTCTGCAAGGCTCTTACTTGAATTCATCTACATGTAGGACTGAAGGTGCGGCACGTTTTTGGCGGCAGATGTACAGAAGTAATCTGTCGACAAATCAATAAAAATATTACATAACTACATTCAGTGGAAATGTTCGGAAAACCAACGGAGATGACGACATCTAGACTTTGAAATATGAACAACAAATTCTAGGAAAACCTATATTATAGTCATGAATAACCATAATGATTTTTCTAATTCAATTATGTCTCTGCCACTTTGAGCGGTTAGCTAATCTTTGGTGATACGACAATCATCCTTCGTGTGATATTCAGAATGTCTCACTCAAGTGGCACTAATTATCTCAAATGCACCCGTTTAATTTAATCGTATCACGGCGGACAACAATATGAGATTATGATGTACGTAGTTCGAATGACAGAAATTCACACCGTAAAAACAAAAAAAACGTGTATAGAATATACTTTGCCTCCCTTGTCGATCATCCGAATATTAGTTGTTACGCCTATGGTAATGTTTTTTTTTAATAAGTATAAAAATCAGCCCGTCACAATGTTCAGTGAACTGAAAATTTCTGTTCAGTAATTCAATGTGATGATTATATTTTAGAAAATATGTAACATCATTGTGACATTTTTTGTTTTCCCAGAGTTCTGAATCGCAACCTTGCGGCAATGACACTCTAGAATAATAAATATACTATATTTTGCTGAATAACTTCATCGAAGTAATGTTATTTAATGAAATACTCTATGTTGAAACTCTGCTAAAAATTATTAAGTTGATGTCCAATAAGGAGTTATATATTGTATCTACCCACATTCGTTTCAGTTAATTCCGTAGCCGGAATAGAGCCACCGTTACGAATGACATTCCAACTGGGACCCTAAATTTTAGGGATATTTTATTGGTGACAGAGGTCAAATTCTCGAATAGTTGGCAATCGATAATGAAATTTGTTGCATAAGTTTAATACTTTTCGTGTCACACCTTTTCTTTTTGCATTAAATTTGAAAAAAAATCAAATTTTCTTAATTAAAATGAACAAATCCGTGGTGAGTACTGAACAGTTTCAAAAATATATTTTGTCCGCCTAGGAGCAGTATAATACTAATGTTTGGAAAATCCACAACTACATCTCTCAATTCTAGTCGACCTTTTTTTTTCAGATGATGCTTCATTTGGCCAGGGCTTGCCAAAGACAGTTCGCAAGACCAGCCTCTACTGATGTAATCATTGGTAAATCAAACCAAATCCAATCTATGCAAAAGCATTTTCAGGTTAGTATTCAGAAGTGTCCAATTAATCAGTAAACTGCAGTAAGATGCCCCCCTGTCTCTGCAAGATCTTTATTTAATAATAATTTAGCTTATAGTTTTTCCGAACCATATGCACTGAATGGAGAACAAGTAAAAATTACAGATTTTGTAAATTAGTAATAATTGAAGTCAGGTATAATAATTTAACCTTTGGATACTCTTCAGTGGTCAACTTTGGTCCCTCTGTAGTTTCTTTTTTTTATTACTGGCCCATAGTGCAGTGAGTTGAAGGAAGATGTTTGCGAATAAATCAAAATTATATAATCACATAAGTGAATATGATGTGAGTGACAATAGATCACTTAAAAGTCTTTCAAAATTGGCTTTTTTTTCAAGAGACATTTATGTAATAAATCATTTTTCTGAAATAATTAGTGAGAAAGATGCATCCCTATAACAGATCAATTAACAGAGTTGATTGAATAAAAAATTGGGGTATACAGAGTGTTTATTAAACATGCAGCAAAAATTCAAGGGATTATTCTAAGGATATTTTGTCCTTTGATCTGTGAATAGTTCAACAATATCAAGGTATTCTCCATGTTTTTTCCATGTCTCAATGTGGTTTATAAAGAAGTTCTAAAATGTATCTTCATCATTGAATTTTTAAAATTATAATCATCAGTAGGTGAACGTTAGTGTGGACACTTGGTTCTCCATCCTCGGTATTCCTTTGGGTAACAAGTTTTTTTTTTAATGTATGGGGGTTTCATCTGTTTGTCTCCCAAATTGGAAATTAATTGATTATGACCTGCAATATAAGTGTAATTATTTATTAGTTTCCCCACTGTAATAATAATATTACTGTAATTTCAGATGGACAACGGAGAGCCTGTTTTCCTTAAAAAAGGTTTTGGTGACAAGGCACTTTACCAAGTAACGATAGCTTTGACAATAATTGGTCTCGGTATGTCTGGTCATACACTCTATCAGCTGACATTCAAGGATTGAATATACATCTGTCTAGTATTTTAAGTAGAAATAATTTCATGTTTCCATAGGAACTGATCAGTTATTTACAATAACAACTCTGTTAAAAATAAACTTTCGTTTGTTTCATATGATTTTCCAAACATATTTCATCTCGACTACTAACAAATTGAATATATCCATTCATCGTAGATACTGAATCAAGTCAAAAAGATAGTCAAATTCTCAAGAAAAATATTTTCACTTGGACTCCAATTACTCTTCTCAATTGGTTGATATATTCAAATGGCCTCCGAAGCAGATCTCTTAAAATGAAAAAAAATACCATGGAAAGAGGTCTGGAAACATACGGGGTTGAAGAATCTCAAAATATTTTCTATAGAAGTGAATAATGTCTCAAGTGACTGAGGGGGTCATGAGATGAATTGGTTCTCACATATCTTGAAAGCTATGTATCATTTATAATTTTTGACAGCCCTTTTTTAAGTAATCAAATAAAAAGATCACTAGAATATAAGTAGTACTAACCTGTACATTATTTTACGTTGGGAGTATAAGCCTAGTATAGGCTCTTGAAAACTATAAAGAGCCCAAAAACAGCACAACTAGTTGCCTTGCAGTAAAAGCTGCAGTCTCCTGTCAATCACATAGATAGTATCCCCGTAAAGGCTGTTCATGCTGACTTATATATAAGTTATTGGTTTCAAAATAAATTGTTCACTTCCAAAAATTAATACAGTCGCATACAAAATACTCGGTATGTTATATAATTGTCTACTTTTCTTAAAATTTATAATGGAAATACTGTATACAGGACCATTAAAAAGTTTTGTTCAATATGAAATCTATTAATTTAGCACCCCATATAGAAATTTGCAACATATAAACATTCATATTGTAAATATACAATAGTCTCATGATACACATAGAATATCGTATATTGTTGAAAAGTTTGCATTTTCTAATCAGATGAACATATAATTATGTTTATTGTTTGGAGGTTTGCTGTTATTCGAAATGTGAGGTGACGAACTTCACTATCTCTGCTCTAAGGTTGTACGGTTCTCAATTCTCATATTTCCCCCCTGCTCTATAAAAAAAACAGTTTTCATTATATATGATGGAATCGGCCGATACTTGATGAAAATCCATAACTAACGTATTCCAAAAACACTTTATTGTGAGATTTTCACTAAATTGTTTTACAAAAACGCAACACGTGTTTCGCCATACAATGGCTTCATCTGGCGTGTCTTTCAACTTTGAAAGACACGCCAGATGTATGGCGAATTAGTTCATTTGGAATAATTTAATTTCAACCCAGTAAACCATGCGCTTTATTATAAAGCCATACATAAAGAAAAATCTAGTAGGTGGTAGAAAAACTGGCTTCATTTCCATAATCATTAATAAATAATAAGTAAAATTTCCTCTAGGAATTATTTGAACAGAATATGTTTTCACCTGAAATAATTTATTTTATAAATATATAATATCCCTCCGATTATCAACTATGGTCCCACTTACTTCAAATGTAAATAAACTCTAAACTCTCCATAACTTCTCATTACCCGCCACCCTCCGCGCTGTAAGTTGTACAGAAAAGGATAGTACGATACTCGTTTCAAAACACATGTATTGTATTGGTATAGGCACCGTATAGGCATGATAACTCTATGTCTTATTATTACTCCATATAGAGTCGGTTTGCTTGATTTATTTCGATCAAGTAGACATAGCAAATTTCATTTGGTGGTAATGACCTGTGTGGAAAAAGATTTTCGACAAATCACAGAAACCCGTCATGGCCGTCATCGAACTATCAACTGTCGTCGTCTGAGAACATCCAATGGAAGAAGAAGAAGAATTGGCATTAGACTTGTGCCACTTGTGTTTAGACGTTAGTTAGGTTTCAAATTCTGTAAAAGAAAGCGAGAACCACGTGGGAAACGAGGTGAATTTAAAAGTTAGTGTGGAAATTGGTGTTTTTTATCAATCACTAAGNTATTTGGATAGACTGGACCAATCAATATAGCGAGGACGGACAATTCAAAGCCAAACTTTACTTTTCCTCCGTACCACAACCTTACAAAACTCCATGGTTCAAGGATCTGGCTACTTGTTCTCGTAAAGAAATCGTCAATATGTGCAGAATTAGGAGCACTCATTCCCTCAATAAAGCGCATCTCCACAAAATTAAGATAGTTGATGACGACCGCTGCGAATGTGGGGAAATACAGACTCTCCTACATATATTCTTTGCCTGCCCTAATAATTCTCATAATATACAAATACTGCATGCCTCTCTTAGCATCCCTCCTTCAACCATTCAGCCTCTTACCTTCCACGATATATTTTTCAAACATATATCACCATCTAACATACAAACCATATCCAAATTCCTGATTGCATCCAACATAAAGCTGTAGTGATCAAGACAGAACTAATACTTGTGTGCATGCAGTGCTTCGCCAATCAAGACCTGATCGTAGTGTCCATACACGTAACCGTAGTGTCCATACACTTAACCGTAGTGCATCAGGTCACATTAGTGCTTACACTCTAATGCAGACGGACATTGCTTGTTAACTGACCTCAAACTACAGTCGAACTTTGTTATAGCGCAAAACCAAGTGGGGTTTGGGTCCAACTCAGATCCACTTTAGTGTGGGCTCCACTTGTAGTAGCAACATGATCCTGGAACCCCTGGCTGGATAGCCCTGGCAGCTGAAGCCATTAATGGAAAAAGAAGAAGAAGAAGTTAGTTAGGTTATAAAGTTATTGTTTCAAAATCAAAATCAGATCCACCGTGCCCAACGATTATGGACATAATCGTTGCACCGTGCCCTCATATATATCTTGAAAATTGATAATGGCCACCAGTGACTGTGGATATGGAAGACCAATTAAAGAGGAGGGGGAAGATGAAACTCTCCAAGTAAATCTCTCGAAAAATGAGTTTGGGCCAGAGAAAATCAAAGATGAAGATGAAATGAGTATTGTTCAGCATGACCTGAAATCTGAACAGTGTGCCGAAGATGTAAAAGAAGGTTTTTATTGTGAGGGGTGTGGGGGTGATTTGCTCAGTCTAGAGAATTTCTTCAACCCTGACAGTGTGAAATCCTGTTGTAATTGTCAATACCAGAACGATGCTAATCATGGAGAAGGTGTGACTAATGATTTGAAACCACCTAACTTTACCTCAGGTAACATTTATTTTGATAGAGGCCGATTTTGACATTCTAGTCCTTGTCTCAATTTTAGTATCTGTAGTTGTCTTGAGAATTTTTGATACTGATTGATGCTGGCAGAAGACTAGTGACATAACATACATACACATTTGTGTGATTTGTATACAATTATAACAAACTAACTATTACCTACGGCATCGCCTGCGTAGGATTTGGTTTGTCACATTGAGTTTCGTGACAGACCATTTCACACTAATAGTTACAATATTTTTTATTAACAAGTATTAAATATAATTTTTTTCAATAAATAATACTTCTAATACCACCAAGAACGTGTACAAAATTTCATGATGATCGGTCGAGTAGATGTTGAGTGAAACCATATCAAACAAACTTACGTTTGCATTTATGATATTAGTAGGGATGTGGCTTCCCGTAGTCTCATTTTGTGTGACTACTACTCTAGGTATTGTCGATTGGTCGATCACATAGATGTTGCACCATCAGTGTTGATATAAAACTCACTGCGATTAGTAGAGTCGTTGCGTTTAATCTGTAAAAAGAACAAACTGTTATACTACTATTTGTACCAAAAACACAACCTCTTCACGAATTGCTCTTATTTTAATGTCAACCACCCAATGCTAATCGAGAACGCCTCATACGAATTATATTTATTCCAAACCACCAGCAATTATTCGGGAACTTTCAAGGTAACAATTCAGGGCGTACGATAAAACAATGATGATAAACCCCACATAATTTTTTTTATGAAAACATAGGCACTGAACTTTTTTGAAACTAAAATTAAGACAGACACTATATTGGCCAAATGGGTAGAACTTTTTTTAATATTCACAAATCTGTTGTAAAATACCTGCATCTTTCTCATGCATACATAATTAGATGAAAAGCTAAGATCACCGAATAGCTTACAATACAATATACAAATAAATGTTGAATAATGAGTCATATTTCAAAGTCATGATTAAATTCCACCTGTGTAAAATTATTTATCCATATCCACATAGTATACTGAGAGAAAAGTATTTACATGTTCATAAATTAAAAATAGTAGTTTTAAGGCTATGAGGAAGTGGAAATAATGTGAAAGTAGTGATAAAATCAATGTTGTATACTTACCTACCAGTTTGAGTCATATAATTGTTTTTGCAAATAATTGATGTACCAATATCATTTACTATATACAATAAAATACAATAATTTATTCATCCTGTAAGATCACGTGTGATATAGAACAAGTCAATAAAAGCAGTAAAAATATCTTACATTTACAAATATTATCAGTCACAAAAACATACAAACATACAATTAAAATTCCATATGATGATCTATACTATGACACATCATTCTTGGTTGTATTGAATAAAGTTGAACTCTTACCGAAGAAAAGTTTGAATAAGTACTTGCTAATTTATCATAGACAAATTGTGACAAATACACAATCTGTACTTTTGAAAATTGATGTTGAATTCTGAGGGATTTCAAGTGATGAATTTAATTTTGTTTCTTTGTTTTGTTTTCATGACTCATCATGAATGTAATTTCAAAATGAAACTATTTTTTACAGATTGTGGAATCTTTTCTTCAAAACCCCCGGAAGAAACAATAGTTATTAAGAAAGAGGTTACCAGTGAAAACACGTCATCAACGTCATGTGAAAAAGCATTTGCCGTTGAAATATTCAGTTCTGGATACTATTCGAATTCATTTGGAGAGAGTAGAATTCATGAAAAAAATGAAGTTTTTTCAAAAAATTCTAATGAAAGAATTGATGAGGAATGTGTTGAAAACAAGACTACAGAAGAATACCCAGTTCATCATAAAGTTTGCACAAAATTGTTCATTGGAAGTAGTGATTTGAATAATCATATTGACTCAAAACCATTTCAGTCTAGAATCTGCACAGATTCATTCAATCTATTAGGTAATTTGAAAGTACATGAGAAAATTCGTACTGGCAAAAAGCGATTTCAGTGTAAAATTTGCTCAAAGTCATTCAATCATTGTAGTAATTTAAAAAATCATGAGAGAATTCATACTGGTGAAAAACCATTTCAATGTAAAATGTGTTTAAAGTCATTCAATGATTGTAGTAATTTGAGAAATCATGAGAGAATTCATACTGGTGAAAAACCATTTCAATGTAAAATATGTTCGAAGTCATTCAATCAATCTAGTTCTTTGAGAATGCATGAAATGATTCATACTGGCGTAAAGCCATTTCAGTGTAAAATCTGTTCTAAATCTTTTATTCAAAAAATTTATTTGAAAAATCATGAAAAGACTCATACTGGCGAGAAACCATTTCAATGTAAAAATTGTCTAAAGTCATTTAATCAAGTTAGCAATTTGAAAAAACATGAAAAAATTCATACTGGCGAAAAGCCATTTCAATGTGAATTCTGCTTAAAGTCATTCAATCAATCGAGTAATATGAAAATACATGAAAAGATTCATACTGGCAAGAAGCCATTTCAGTGACAAATTTGATCTAAGTCATTCATTAAATGAGGAAATAATTCAAATATGTATTTTTTATATCATGGGCATGGAGTAGCATATTTGGATAACTACCGATTGCACTGCCTTTGTGGTATATATTGAAATATTTTCTCCAAGGTGATAAAGTTGAAAACAGCACAACTAGTTGCTTTGCAGTGAAAGCTGCAGAGTCTCCTGTCGATCACATAAATAGTATCCTTGTAAAGGCTGTTGTTCATGCTGACTTATATAGATTATTGGGCTCAAAATAAATGAATCAATTCCAAAAATCAATAAATTAGAGTCGCATTCAAAACACCCAGTATGTTATATAATTTTTAATACAATCCACCGTATACTTTTCATAAAATTTGGAAATGAAATACTGCATACAAGGCGATAGATAAGTTATGTTCACTATCAATATGAATTCAGCACCCTACGTAGGAATTTGGAACAAATAAACATTCATACTGTGGATGTTTAGTAGTCTCAAGATGAATATAAAATATCCCTGGTGTGATTACTTGGACCCCTTTATTGTTGAAAAGTTTCTTTATACCTGGCTGAAACATCGGTGAATTTCGAAAATTTGTCTACTGATGAGTGGAAAATACAAGGAAAAAGCATTGAATTGCTGAAGCCATTTGATGAAAAACAACAACCATGGAAATGAAAGGTCTGCTTGAAAATTATTTGAAGAGTAGGTTTGATGTGGAGCATAAAAAAGTCTTTACCCTGGCTACTTTTTTGGCAAAGATTAGCCACAGAGTCCCTTCTTCGACGATGATAATATAGAAACAGCAACAGACAGGCATTTTTGGTGAAGCTACCAAAAATTTGCATCTAGAAAAATAGCAGAGCATCAAGACGGCAAGTCAAGAGCGGCTCATGAACTGCAGTCTTATTGTGCTATACCGGTGATTAAGCGAAATGATGACCCATTTCAGTGGTGGAGCAGCAATAGTTCAAGGTATCCTGAAATGTCCGCATCGCCAAAGTGTACCTTTGTCAACAGCCATCTTGATTTTAAACAGGTTGGAGCCTGGCTCTCTTCCCCTTAGGATTGATGCTGGTCAGAAGGACGAGTAGGTCAATGTACCTCTGTTGCTACGCAAGTTCTTTTTATAGTGAGCAGCTACCCTCAGAGGCTGGTAAAATATACGAAACAAAAAGAAATCAATTGCTGCCAGATAGGGCAGACACTCAAGTATTTTCATATCATAATTTACCTACAATTAACAAATATAAGTTATAAAAATATAACAAAATGACATTTGTTTGTAACAATTATCACTTTGGTTTGATAAGGTTATGTATGGTTATAAAAAATCATATATGCACGTTACTGTCTTTTTGGTTTGATTTTATTAGGCAGTTAATGTTGAGAATTTTTTTTACTATAAGGACAACATGGACACGCCATCTTATTTCAATATTACTCAGTTTGTTAATTAAATTCGGACGAAAAGGTTTTTCAAATTCGGCACAAATCCACAGAAAATTTACATGTTTCCAACTACTATATTGAAACAGCAGAAATAATCAACCAATTCATGATAACCCCATGATGGAATTCCTCTGCAATTTAAAAAAAAATGCATATTCACTCTAGAAAAACCCTTACAAACATTATTTAATCTTTCTTTATCTATGGGAATCTTCCCTGAATTCTGGAAGCAAAGTTTTTTAACTCTAATCTACAACTCTGGTGATAGAGAAAATATTAAAAACTACCGTCCAGTGAGCAAGCAATCGAAGATTCCGAAGTTGCTGGATTGTTTGATAACTAAAAAAACTGACATTCGATACAAAAAACATAATAAATGAACACTCTAGAGGAAAAACACCAAGTTGACTCTATTTATACTGATTTCTCTAAAGCCTTTGACATGGTAAATCATGATCTTCTCAGGTCTAAGCTCCTAGCTTTAGTCATGAATGCTAACGTGTCAAAATGGATAAAGAATTATTTGGGTAATAAAATTCAGTATGTTAAATATGCTGGTTCCATAACATCACACCTGTAACATCTGGTGTCCCTCAAGGAACGCATATAGGTCCAATACTCTTCATTCTTTTTGTATCAAATAACATTTACAAGAGCTGTGAAACCTATTGTATATCCATATAAAATCAAAATCATTAATCTAACATTGACTAACAGCGTTCGTGACTTGGGAGTGTTGTTCGATTGCAAAGTAACCTTTAAAGGTCATATTGATCACATTACTTCTAAATCAATCAAATTAATGGGATTTGTTCAACTTTCCAACTCCTGATCCAATAACTGAACCTAAAAAAAAAGGTTTGGTGGTGCAGCTAGGAAACGACTGAGTTGTCTCCTCAAGAGCGTGGTACCGCATGGAACGACCAAATTCTTGAGCGGTGTACGCAGAATCTGTCTCAGGTGGAGGAACAAACCCCCCATGAGCAGGTTAGCAAACGTTTGCGCTCAACTGAAGATTTACCAAATCCAGAGGCGAAAAGCCCTGCACGGTTGAATCTAAGACATCGTCAGGTGTAGCTGACTTCCAAAAACCCTCATATAGGAATGTTGTCGCGGGTATCAAGTTGAGAATCTTGTACCTTGACTATCCGACTACCTCATTAACGATGAAACAGCAGAGCATATACTTTGTGCCTGCCCTGCTGGGGACCGAATCAGATTTTTAGAGTTCGGCAGAGCCGTACTCTATCTGACCTGATAGACCACTCACCATACTATACAAACTAATCGGGTTCGTTAAGAAGCTGGATTTATTTGGTCGAGTGTGAAAAGGTGCAGTAGAGAGTCGAACAGACCCTCTCACTTTGGACCTGACCTAACCACTGTAAATATTTTATTGATAAAAGACATATAAAGTAGGAAGCCGGATAGTCGGCGCCCTTTGTCGATTAGTCGCCGACTATGATATAGTGACCAGATAGTTGGCTTTGCCGACTAGTCGGTACATCTCTACTTATTTCTAATATTTCCGATAGACGTATCTAGACAATGAACCTTATTATCTCTGCTCTGCGGTTCTCACATCTTTTCTCTATCAAATGACAGTGAATTAGGACCAGTGTTGCCACAAGCTATTTTTTCATCGAGGTATACTTTAGGAAGGGAGCGGAGTAGAACCGGGGTGGATCCACATTCACATAATGTAACTCGGTCATAGAATATCGGAACTAACGTTGTAAAACACAACCCAAGGATCCACCACCAGCAGCGTCAGACACTCAGTCTACCCAACGTTGCCAAGGGTACTCGGCTGGTGTATCGCGCAAGATTCGAAATCAAACCTCAAATATTTGTCAATTTTTTTCAATTTTCATTTCACATTCTTTAGCGTGGTAGATTTATTTGAGAGGGCGCGAGGGTGAAATTAAGTTCAAGAGGGGTAAAACTACCCGTACGGAGAGCTGTAACAACATTGTTTATGACAACACACAGATACTCGGATTCCAGCTGCCTTTTGTCACCTGTCACCGTTGTCATGTCCTTTGTCGTTTCGTTGTTGAGACCATCTAAGTTATACAGTTATTTCTTCAAAAACAGAATCACGGTGCCCCCATATATTTCTTGAAAATTAATAATGGCCACTGATAACTGTGGATATGGAAGACCAATCAAAGAGGAGGGGGAAGATGAAACACTCCAAGTAAATCTCTCGAAAAAGGAGTTTGTGCCAGAAAAAATCAAAGGTGAAGATGAAATAACTATTGTTCATCATGACCTGAAATCTGAACAGTGTGCAGAAGAAGTAAAAGAAGGCTCTTATTGTGAGGTGTGTGGGGGAGTTTTGCCTAGTCTAGAGAATTTCTTCAACCCTGAAAGTTTGAAATCCTGTTGTTACTGTCTGTACCAGAAGGATGCTATTATGCATGGAGAAGATATGCCTTATGATTTGAAACCACTTAACTTTGGCTCAGGTAACTTTCATTTTAGTAGAGGCCAATTTGGACATCCTAGTCCTTGTCTCATTTTTAATTTCTGTAGTTGTCTTGAGAATTTTTGATACTGGTCAATGCAGGCAGAAGACTAGTGACGTGACACATATTTGTGTGATTTGCATACACTCATAACAAATGTGGCATTCCGTAGGCTCATTTTATGTAACTTGGTACTATTTTAGGCATTCTCAAGTGGTCAATCACATAGATGTTGTTACCGTCAGTGTTGATAAAAAATTTGTAGAGTGGTTGTGGTTCTGGGTGTAGTTGGTGCACTAATAATCATTAAAAGAAACATACTGTTGTACTAAGACTTTTTGTACCAAAAACACAACCCTTTCACAAATTGCCCTTAGTTTTATGTCAACTGCTGTTGAATTATCCTTATGTTCTATTCACTATTCACTTATACCTGAATCAAAACGATTTTCATTCACATAACACCAGACAAGCACAACAGATTAAAATTGAATTCACAAGACTAAATCACTGCCGTTTTTCGAAAAATTATTTTGGTCCTATTTTATTTAACAAACTACCAGAAGATATAAAAAACTTAAATACAGCCTCGTTTACAAATTATATGAAAAATATCTGCCTGGAAAACGTTTCAAGTTAATTTGTGTTTTGTCATATTTCAATAGATGTGAAGAAGCAGAGAAATAAGTTTTTGTTTTTGAGCACTGTGGCAACATGGATACAGAAATATGAAGTTGTATTTTATGGCCGACAGTCAAGGTTTGATTGCTTATTCTGTTTCATTTCATTTTTAATAAAACCAATCACATTTTGAAGTTGTGTCTATTCAAAAGTAAAAACCAAACCGGTTATGGGCCCAGACACCCTTCAGTTAAAAGCAGAAAGTAAAAAAAGTAAGCAATCATAAAAATAAAAAACAGTGACCACTAAAAACACAATGGCTACTGCAGCTCAGGACGACGCTATAACTTCGAAAAACTAATATATAATGAATCTTACCAGATATGGAAGTTTCAATTAACAATTATTCTCAAAGCTTATGCTTTATGGGACATATAAAAAAAGTTAAAAGACTGGCATACAGACTAAAAAGTTTGTGCCAAGATAATAATGAAGAAATTATTCTTCAAGATCATTTCAACGTTACCAGAAAGTTATAAATACTTCGACTCAGCCTGGGATTCAACACCCAAAAGTGAAAAGACATTAACTAAACTCACCTCAAGGCTACTGATAATGGTCAGATTCAAAGAAGTTACAGAAGAGAATACAGTAGCATTTGTGTCAACAGAAAGTGGAAAGAAGGGTTCCAAATCATGAGGTGTAGTTTTTGAAAGTAACTAATATACTTCTTTGTATAATTTTCACTATACAGGGTTTCATAAAAACCGCGACACGTGTTTCACTATACAATAGCTTTCTCTAGCGTCAAATAATTTTACGCTGATACATAAGCTCAGGTAATTTCATTCATTACATGATTATTCAAATGAGTTAGTGCACTTTCTTTTCTGGTGTTAATGTTAATTGATTTATTCTCAAACTCAGGTATACATTTTCAAAATTAATCAGGTACTTGAAATTCAGGTAATACAAATTGTAAAAATATATGTAAAGCATTCATTATGTAGATTTTGTTAGTATATACACGCCTGAAGAATCTATTGTATAGCGAAACATGTGTTGCATTTTGTGAAACAGTTTGGTGAAAATCTCATAATAAAATGCTAACAAAAAAAAAGTTCCAAAGTTTTGCGGAAAGTTGTATCTGAGCTGTTGAATTAAGCTACAATAACTGATAATATCATTGATTAATATTAAACTACTAATCAAGAATCACAAATATGTTGTGAAATACTTGCACCTTTTCCATACATCCATAATTAGATGAAAAACTAGTGTCACCAAATAACTTACAATATTCGTGTATATAAATTGCCCAGAAAAATATGGAACGAGTGTCGAAGATAGGACTAAATAACAGTAAGTGAAAAAAAATAAGCAAAATCGTTGCACATCGGAAATCATCATACAGGAATACATCACAACTATAGTAACATTTTTGCAAGAGCAATAAAACATGTTATCAGAGCTAATTTGTTTGATCTACTCTGGTAAAGGGGACTTTTTATATTTCGTTGTTTTATGACTTGGAATACGCAAAACAACAACTGTACACTGTTGCATTTGTTTCTAGTTCATGGATGTTAGATCTAGCAAATCCAATACATCTGAGAATGTATATGGATGAATACTGGTTTACAGCTGTCTCGGTGTTCAATGCTGAAAATTAGTCTAACTATGCGCTTTTGCGCTACGAATATTTTGATGAATTCATTACTGCAACCCCATGGTATGATATTGAGCGATATATGTGAATATGTCATAGCAAAATAGATTTCTAGTAGACCTGCTGTATTCATGCATGATTTCATTTGCCTTAAAGCAAAGAATGCCTTGTTTAATTTCTTGCAGTCATCTTTTATTTGCAGATCCCATGAAAAGCTTTCATCCAAGTAAGTTCCTAAAAATTTTACTTCACTACTAATCTTTATTTCCTCAATAACTTGTAGGTCATCTGGAACATTATTTTTCCTGTTATAGAAATTTAGTATTACAGTTTTTGTGGAGTTAAATATTAATCTGTTTCGCTGACACCAGGAGCTAAAAATTGATTATGCATTTTACTTTACTAAGCTGTATATCAATATTTCCGCCTGTAACTGTGATAGTGGTATCATCCGCAAATGTAGTAAGGTGGAAATCATTCAGATATTCTGACAAATCATTTGCATACAACAAAAAAAGCACTCCAAGCTTAACATCATTGCACCTTGATCTAACATTTTCACATTTTACAGACATGGTACGCCCTTTGAGGTAAGATTCAATCCATTTCAACAAGTTATTCGGGAAACTACGTTGGGTTACTTTTGTGATTAGAAATTCAGGAGACACTGTGTCAAACGTTTTTGTTAGATGAAAAAAATGAAGACATTACAAAATTATTCGAATCCACTTCTTTGTAGATATAATTCAGTAAGTGATATGTTGCAATTTCAATTGATTTACTCTTTCTGAATCCATGTTCATCTTCGCACAGTATATTATTTTCCTCCAAATAATTAGTAATACTGTTTGCAACTAATTTTTCAAATAATTTAGCCAGTGAGCATGGCAAAGAGATTTGCCTATAATTTTCTTCTAACGAGCGATCACCTTTTTTGAAACTGGTTATTACTAATGCCTTTTTCAATTCTTCGGGAAAGTATCCTTGCAAAAAAGACTGATTAAATAAATAAGTCAAAGGGGTAGGTAATCACTACATAGATTTTTTTTATTGTTCCTATTGACAACCCCTCCAATCCAGTAGACTTTTGATTTTTTAATATTTTTAGTGTGCTTTGCACCTCTGATTCATTTAAAGGATAATTTTGTAAAGAATGAATTACATCGTGATTCCCTGAGACAATATTTATTTCTTGAAAAACATCATTTGACAGTGTTACTAGTTTTCTTAGCTATGTGAAGGAGTGGAAATAATGTGAAAGTAGTGAAAAAATCAATTTGAGTTATATAATTGTTTTTGACCTTGCTAAATTTTTGTTCCATCCAGAAAAGAGCCATACGCCTCATTGGAGACGAGAATATCACTTGCAACCTTAATAGTCTGGAACATCCAAAAAAGACTGGGGAATTGTCTCTCTTAGATACCTTTACGGGAGATGTTAAAGTGACTTGACACATTTAATTCTAATTCTACCAGAAATACGCGACGACTTCTTTCATTTGGAGAACTGCTTTGATGTGGAATAATTTTCCTGCGAAGGATTTCCCAAATGTATTTAATCTCCAGCGATTGAAATCCAACGCAAATCACTACTTTTGCACAGGCACTGCTCTTAGAGCGCCTTAGGCATTTTCCCGTAGTGTTCGTGTTTGTCCTTGAAAAAAAAAGACGAATTCTGATGAGTACACAAAGTCTACCATTGAAAATTGATGTTTATTTTTGAGGCATTTCAAATAATTTATTTAATTTTGCTTCGCTGTTTTGTTTTCGTGACCCATCATATATGTAATTATGTAATGTAACTATTTTTTACAGATTGTGGAATCCTTTTTACAAAACCCCTGGAAGAAACTATTGCTAGTAAGAAAGAGGTTATCAGTGAAAACACGTCATCAGCGTCATGTGAAAAAGAATTATCCATTGAAGTATTTAGGTCTGGATACTATTTGAATTCATTTGGAGAAAGTATAATTCATGGGGAAAATGAAGTTTTCTCAAAAAAATTGAATGAAAGAACTATTGTGAAATCTGTTGTAAAGAAGTCTACAGAAATTCATCATGAAATTTGCACAAAATCTTTTATTGGAAGGAATGATTCAAAAAATAATATTGCCTCAAGAAAATTTCAGTGTAAAATCTGCTCAAAGTCATTCAATCTATCTGGTAATTTGAAAATACATGAAAAGATTCATACTGGCGAGAAACTATTTCAATGTAGATTTTGCTCGAAGTCATTCAATCAATGTAGTAGTTTGAAAAAACACACAAGGATTCATACCGGTGGAAAACCATTTCAATGTAAAATCTGTTCGAAGTCATTCAATCAAAGTAATTGTTTGAAAAAACACGAAATGATTCATACCGGTGAAAAACCATTTAAATGTCAAATCTGTTCAAAATCATTCAATCAGTGTAGTCATTTGAAACAACATGAAAGAATTCATACCGGTGAAAAACCATTTCAATGTAAAATCTGTTTGAAGTCATTCAGTCAAAGTAGTATTTTGAGAAATCACGAATTGATTCATACTGGTGAAAAATCATTCAAATGTGAAATCTGTTCGAAGTCATTCTATCAAAATAGTAGTTTGAAAATACACGAAATGATTCATACCAGTGAAAAACCATTTAAATGTAAAATCTGTTCGAAGTCATTCAATCAAAATAATTCTTTGAAAAAACACGAAATTATTCATACCAGTGAAAAACCATTTAAATGTAAAATCTGTTCGAAGTCATACAATCGTCGTAGTGTTTTGAGAATTCACGAAATTATTCATACTGGTGAAAAATTCAAATGTAAAATATGTTTGAAGTCATTCAGCCATCGTAGTAGTTTGAGAAATCACGGCATGATTCATACTGGTGAAAAACCATTTAAATGTAAAATCTGTTCGAAGTCATTTAATCGAAGTAATTGTTTGAAAAAACACGAAATGGTTCATACCGGTGAAAAACCATTTAAATGTAAATTCTGTTCGAAGTCTTTCATTGATTGTAGTAATTTGAAAAAACACGAATGGATTCATACTGGTGAAAAACCATTTCAATGTAAAATCTGTTCGAAGTCATTCAGTGCTTGTAGTAGTTTGAAAACACATGAAAGGATTCATACCGGTGAAAAACCATTTCAATGTAAAATCTGTTCAAAGTCATTCAATCAACGTTGTAGTTTGAAAAAACACGTAAGGATTCATACCGGTGAAAAACCATTCAAATGTAAAAACTGTTTGAAGTCATTCAATCAATGTAGTAGTTTGAAAACTCACACAATAATTCATACTGGTGAAAAACCATTTAAATGTAAAATCTGTTCGAAGTCATTCAATCGAAGTAGTGGTTTGGAAAAACACGAAATGATTCATACCGGTGAAAAACCATTTCAATGTAAAATCTGTTTGAAGTCATTCAATCAATGTGGTAGTTTGAAAAAACACGAAAGGATTCATTCCGGTGAAAAACCATTTCAATGCAAAATATGTTCGCAGTCATTCAGTCAAAGTAGTAGTTTGAAAAAACACGAAGTGATTCATACCAGTGAAAAACCATTTGAATGTAAAATCTGTTCGAAGTCATTCAATCAACGTTGTAGTTTGAGAAATCATGTAATGATTCATACCGGTAAAAAACCATTTCAATGTAAAACCTGTTTGAAGTCATTCAATCATTGTAGTATTTTGAAAAAACACGAAATGATTCATACTGGTGAAAAACCATTTCAATGTAAAATCTGTTTGAAATCATTCAATCAATGTAGTAGTTTGAAAAGACACCAAAAGACTCATTCCGGTGAATAACCATTTCAATGTAAAATCTGTTCGAAGTCATTCAATCAAATTAGTATTTTGAAAAGGCATGACAAATACTCATCCTGGCAAAAAACCATTTCAATATAAAATTTGTTCAAAGTCGGTCAATCAATGTTCTATTTTGAAAAATCACGAAAAAATTCTTACTGAAGAAAAACCATTTAAGTCATTCAATCAATTTGGTAATATATGAAAATATTTGAATAGAATTGGCCGATACTTGATGAAAATCCATATTGAAACTAATTAATACTAATTAATTGATACTGTATGATTTTCACTAAGGGTTTTACAAAAACCCCGACACATGTTTCGCTATACAATAGCTTTCTCAAGCATAAATTGAACAGTTTTAATTTATGCTTGAGAAAGCATAACCGCGGTTTTTGTAAAACCCTTTATAGTGAAAATCATACAGTAAACTGTATCAATTAGTTTTAATATGAAAATACAAAAAGTCTCGTACTGGCGAAAAATCAAATGTAAAATCTACTCAAAGTCATTGAATCAAATTAGTTGTTTGAAAGTACATGAAAAGATTCATACTGGCGGCAAGCCTTTCTAATGTAAAATTCATACTGGTGAGAAACTATTTCAATGTAAAATTTGCTGAAAGTCACTGAGTCAATTGAATCATTTAAAAATTCATACAGGTGAAAAACCATTTGAATTAAATCAATATCATGAAAGAATTCACACGAAAAACCATTTCAATGTAAAATCTGTTCGAAGTCATTCAATCGAAGTAGTGGTTTGGAAAAACACGAAATGATTCATACCGGTGAAAAACCATTTCAATGTGGAAATTGCCTAAAGTAATATAGTCAAGTTAGCAAGTTGAAAAAACGTGAAAAAATTCATACTGTCGAAAAGCAATTTCAATGTGAATTCTGCTCAAAGTCATTCAATCAATTTGGTAATATGAAAATATATGAAGAGATTTATACTGGCAAGAATCCATTTCACTGACAAATTTGCTCTAAATAATTCATTAAACGAGGAAATGATTCAAATATATATTTTTTATATTATGGGCACGGAGTAGGATATTTCTGGGAAACTACCGACTGGACTGCAATAAGTTATCATTCAATATCAATATAACTAGCATACTTACCTTCCACTGTAACTTACCTGAGATCTGCCTTGGTGACAAAATCTTAGACAGGGTACATAATTATAAATTTCTAGGGTTGAACATTGATGATAAACTGAAATTTAAAAATCACACAATAAACTTAAGCAAGAAGCTTGCCTCAGGTTGCTATGCACTAAGAGTGATTTCTAGAGAACTAGGCCACTCCCATTCAAGAACAGCTTATTTCGCTTTAATAGATCCCCATATTAAATATGTAATTGCCTTCTGGGGAGTCTGTTTTAGAGATTTATTTCAAATGATTTTTGTGCTCCAAAAAAGGGCTGTCTGATATATGTGCAAAGCAGCTCCCAGGGATCCATGCAAGCCTCTTTTCATAGCTCACGGTATTTTAACAGTAGCAGCCCTGTTTATCTTGGAATCAATATGCTTGATAAAAAAAAGTTATTCTTGTGCATCTCCCCCTTCCTCATATAATACTCGTAGCCACAATAGTAACATAGATCTGCCTATTCCTGCGAGTTCCCTTGTTAGGGATTCAGTTATATTCAACGGGATCAAACTGTTTAATCACTTACCAGCCCGAATTAAGGAAATTATAGTGCTTAACAAATTCAAAAAAGCAGTTAAAATGCTACTTGTTGATAGGGCCTATTATTCAGTTCAGGAGTATCTTGACGATTTACTTGAATCTTAACTTTTATTTCTGTCTTGTTATTTCCACCTGAATATCTCAGTGTATTTCACATTTTTAGCTTATGTTTATTGTATTTTGTTTAAACTGTTTGTTTTTTTATGTAGATTTTTGTATCTTATTATTTATGACTTTGTCTACAAGATGTAGTTTTTCAGACAATAAAGTATATTTGATTGATTGATTGATTGATAGTTGCCTTGCAGTGAAAGCTGCAGAGTCTCCTGTTGATCAAACTGTTTAATCACTTACCAGCCCGAATGAAAGAAATTATAGTGCTTAACAAATTCAAAAAAGCAGTTAGAATGCTACTTGTTGATAGGGCCTATTATTCAGTTCAGGAGTATCTTGACGATTCACTTGAATCTTAACTTTTATATCTGTCTTGTTATTTCCAGCTGAATATCTCAGTGTATTTCACATTTTTAGCTTATGTTTATTGTATTTTGTTTAAACTGTTTGTTTTTTTTATGTACATTTTTGTATCTTATTATTTATGACTTTGTCTACAAGATGTAGTTCTTCAGACAATAAAGTATATTTGATTGATTGATTGATAGTTGCCTTGCAGTGAAAGCTGCAGAGTCTCCTGTTGATCACATAGATAGTATCCTCGTAAAGGTTGTTCATGCTGACATATAGGTTACTGGGCTCAAAATAAATGATTCAATTCCAAAATTCAATTAGAGTCGCATACAAAACACCCAGTATGTTATATAATTTTAAATACAATCCACTGTATACTTTTCATAAAATTTGGAAATATAATACTATATACAAGATGATAGATAAGTTATGTTCACTCTCAAATCAATATGAATTTAGCACCCTACGTAGAAATTTGGAACAAATAAATATTCATACTGTGGATGTTTAGTAGTCTCAAGATGCATATAGAATATCCCTGGTGTGATTACTTGGACCCTTTATTGTTAAAAAGTTTGCATTTTCCACTCTACACGAATAACATAGAAAGTTTTTTGAGTTTTACAACTCACTGGTTTGACAATAGTTTCAAATATCATCACGCAGATTTTCAAATGAAATATTTTCCTGAAACACACAGCAAATAACATAAAAATATGTCTAGAAGAAATCCCTACTTTGTGGAATATAGATACGACCCAAATTCAGGCTGTTGTACGAGACAAAGGCAGAAATATGACGAAAGCAATCGACGATTCAGTTTTTAAAGGAGTACCTTATTTCATACATACTATACAAATAACAATCAATACTACTTTGAAACATGATACCATAGTAGAAATAATTGTAGAGTCAAGACGAATCGTGACATGCTTCAACTATTCTAATCAAGCTCAGCAAGAACTTAATTTATCAGCCCATCAGCTGTCCAAGACGTATGTACCAAGTGAAATTCCTCATACTATAAGATATCTCGCTTTTTCAAACAAAACCGGATGTTTCTTTATACCTGGCTGAAACATCGGTGAATTTCGAAAATTTGTCTACTGATGAGTGGAAAATATAAAAAAAATCTGTTTAAAATCTGTTTTTCCGTTAATCAGCTGTCGCCACCATACGAACGTCAACTCTCAGAAGTTGAGAAATTTGTGCAAGCTAAGGACTAACGAGGTCTTACCTTTTAACGTGTGATTCCTAACACGGTTGCAGAATCATTCCAGCTTCAACCAGATGAAATCTCTCGAGAAAAATATCTGGTCGAAGCGGGAATCGAACACACGACCTTCCGATCGTGAGTCGGACGCACTACCACCGCGGCCAATTCCACAAGGAAAAAGCATTGAATTGCTGAAGCCATTTGATGAAAAACAACAACCATGGAAATGAAAGTGCTGCTTGAAAATTATTTGAAGAGTAGGTTCGATGTGGAGCATAAAAAAGTCTTTACCCTGGCTACTTTATTGGCAAAGATTAGCCACAGAGTCCCTTCTTCGATGATGATAATATAGAAACAGAGCAACAGACAGGCATTTTTGGTGATGCTACCAAAAATTTACATCTAGAAAAATAGCAGAGCATCAAGACGGCAAGTCAAGAGCAGCTCATGAACTGCAGTCTTATTGTGCGATACCGGTGATTAAGCGAAATGATGACCCATTTCAGTTGTGGAGCAGCAATAGTTCAAGGTATCCTGAAATGTCCGCATCGCCAAAGTGTACCTTTGTCAACAGCCATCTTGATTTTAAACAGGTTGGAGCCTGGCTCCCTTCCCCTTAGGATTGATGCTGGTCAGAAGAACGAGTGGGTCAATGTACCTCTGTTGCTACACAAGTTCTTTTTATAGTGAGCAGCTACCCTCAGAGGCTGGTAATATATACGAAACAAAAAGAAATAAATTGCTGCCAGATAGGGCAGACACTCAAGTATTTTCATATCAATTTACCTACAATTATATAAGTTATAAAAATATAACAAAATGACATTTGTTTGTAACAATTATCACTTTGGTTTGATAAGGTTATGTATGGTTATAAAAAATCATATAAGCACGTTACTGTCTTTTTGGTTTGATTTTATTAGGCAGTTAATGTTGAGAATTTTTTTTACTATAAGGACAACATGGACACGCCATCTTATTTCAATATTACTCAGTTTGTTAATTAAATTCGGACGAAAAGGTTTTTCAAATTCGGCACAAATCCACAGAAAATTTACATGTTTCCAACTACTACATTGAAACAGCACAAATAATCAATCAATTCATGATAACCCCATGATGGAATTCCTCTGCAATTTAAAAAAAAATGCATATTCACTCTAGAAAAACCCTTACAAACATTATTTAATCTTTCTTTATCTATGGGAATCTTCCCTGAATTCTGGAAGCAAAGTTTTTTAACTCTAATCTACAAATCTGGTGATAGAGAAAATATTAAAAACTACCGTCCAGTGAGCAAGCAATCGAAGATTCCGAAGTTGCTGGATTGTTTGATAACTAAAAAAACTGACATTCGATACAAAAAACATAATAAATGAACACTAACATGGCTTTATATCTGGTAGATCCACCACTACGAATTTATTGCTTTATCAACATTTTCTTTTGCATAACCTCTAGAGGAAAAACACCAAGTTGACTCTATTTATACTGATTTCTCTAAAGCCTTTGACATGGTAAATCATGATCTTCTCAGGTTTAAGCTCCTAGCATTAGGCATAAATGGTAACGTCTCAAAATGGATAAAGAATTATTTGGGTAATAAAATTCAGTATGTTAAATATGCTGGTTCCATATCATCACACATGTAACATCTGGTGTCCCTCAAGGAACGCATATAGGTCCAATACTCCCCATTCTTTTTGTATCAAATAACATTTTCAAGAGCTGTGAAACCTATTGTATATCCATATAAAATCAAAATCATTAATCTAACATTGACTAACAACGTTCGTGACTTGGGAGTGTTGTTCGATTGCAAAGTAACCTTTAAAGGTCATATTGATCACATCACATCTAAATCAATCAAATTATTGGGATTTGTTCAACTTTCCAACTCCTGATCCAATAACTGAACCTAAAAAAAATATAATTGTTTTTGAAAATAAATGATGTACCAATATCATTTACTATATACAATACAATTATTTATCCTGTAGGATCACATGTGATATAGGACAAGTAAATAAAAGCAGTAAAAGCGTAAAAAGTTTACAAATATACAAATATTATCAGTCATAAAAACATACAATTAAAATTCCGTATGATAATCTATACTCCGATACATATTCTTGGTTATATTGAATAAAGTTGAACTCTCGCCGAAGAAAAGTTGTGGGTCAACAACAAAAAGTTTGAATAATTACTTGCTAATTTATCATAGAGGAATTGTTACAAATACACAATCTGTAATTTTGAAAATTGATGTTGAATTCTGAGGGATTTCAACTAATGAATTTAATTTTGTTTTGTTGTTTTGTTTTTGTGACCCATCATAAATGTAATTGCGTAATGAAACTATTTTTTACAGATTGTGGAATCTTTTCTTCAAAACCCCCAGAAGAAACAATTGTTATTAAGAAAGAGGTTACCAGTGAAAACATGTCATCAACGTCATGTGAAAAAGAATTTGACGTTGAAATATTCAATTCTGGATACTATTCGAATTCATTCGGAGAGAGAAAAATTCATGAGGAAAATGAAGTTTTTTCAAAAAATTTGAATGAAAGAACTGATGGAAAATGTGTTGAAAACAAGACTACAGAAAAATCCCCAGTTCATCATGAAGTTTGCACAAAATCGTTCATTGGAAGAAGTGATTTGAAAGTACATGAAAATATTTGTACTGGCAAAAAGCGATTTCAATGTAAATTTTGCTTAAAGTCATTCAATCATTGTACTGATTTTAAAAATCATGAGAGAATTCATACTGGTGAAAAACCATATCAATGTAAATTTTGTTCAAAGTCATTCAGTCAGTGTAGTAGTTTGAAAAATCATGAGAGAATTCATACTGGCGAGAAACCATTTCAATGTAAATTCTGCTCAAAGTCATTCAATCAAATCAGTCATTTGAAAATACATGAAACGTTTCATACTGGCGAAAAACCATTCCAGTGTAAAATTTGTTCAAAGTCATTCAATCAATGTAGTACTTTGAAAAAACACGAAAAAATTCATACTGGTGAAAAACCATTTCAATGTAAAATCTGTTCGAAGTTATTCAATCAATCTAGTTCTGTGAGAATGCATGAAAAGATTCATACTGGCGTAAAGCCATTTCAGTGTAAAACTTGCTCTAAATCTTTCATTCAAAAAATTCATTTAAGAAATCATGAAAAGACCCATGCTGGCGAGAAACCATTTCAATGTGAAAATTGCCTTAAGTCATTTAGTCAAGTTAGGTATTTGAAAAAACATGAAAAAATTCATACTGGCAATGAGCCATTTCAGTGACAAAATTGCTGACGAGAAACCATTTCAATGTAAAATTTGCTAAAAGTTATTCAGTCGATTTAGTCATTTGAAAATTCTTGAAAAAATTCATACAGGTGAAATACTATTTCAATGTAACATCTCTTCACTCATTCAATCGATTTGCTCTGGCACCACCGAGAGCTCATATGAGGTTGCTAGTTGATAAAAATTTTGATAACCTTTCCAACAAATAGTGAAGCTCATTTATTCAGGAAGTAAAAATTTGAATTATGATTATTCAAATGAGTTAGTGCACTTTCTTTTCTGGTGTTAATGTTAATTGATTTATTCTCAAACTCAGGTATACATTTTCAAAATTAATCAGATACTTAAAATTCGGGTGATACAAACTGTAAAAATATATGTAAAGCATTGATTATATAGATTTTGTTATTTTAGTCAAGCCTGGAAAAGCTATTGTATAGCAAAACATGTTTTGTGTTTTGTACAACTGTTTGGTGAAAATCTCACAATAAAATGCTAACAAAAGAAATGTTCCAAAGTTTTGTGGAAAGTTGTATCTGAGCTATTGAACTAAGCTACAATAACTGATAATATCATTGATTAATATTAAACTACTAATCAAGAATCACAAATATGTTGTGAAATACTTACACCTTTTCCATATATATCCATAATTAGATGAAAAACTAGTGTCACAAAATAACTTACAATATTCGTGTATATAAATTCCCCAGAAAAAATATGGAACGAGTGTCGAAGATAAGACTAAATAACAGTAAGTGAAAAAAAAATAAGCAAAATCGTTGCTTATCCGAAATCATCATCCAGGAATTCATCACAACTATAGTAACATTTTTGCAGGAGCAGTAAACTATGTTATCAGAGCTAATTTGTTTGATCTACTCTGGTAAAGGGGACTTTATATATTTCGTTGTCTTATGACTTGGAATGCGCAAAACAACAACTGTACACTGTTGCATTTGTTTCTAGTTCATGGATGTTAGATCTAGCAAATCCAATACATCTGAGAATGTATATGGATGAATACTGGTTTACAGCTGTCTCGCTGTTCAATGCTGAAAATTAGTCTAACTATGCGCTTTTGCGCTACGAATACTTTGATGAATTCATTACTGTAACCCCATGGTATGATATTGAGCGATATATGTGAATATGTCATAGCAAAATAGATTTCTAGTTGACCTGCTATGTTCATGCATGATTTCATTTGCCTTGAAGCAAAGAATGCCTTGTTTAATTTGTTGCAGACATCTTTTATTTGCAGATCCCATGATAAGCTTTCATCCAAGTGAGTTCCTAAAAATTTTACTCTGCTACTAATCTTTTTCCTGTTATAGAAATTTAGTATTACAGTTTTTGTGGAGTTAAATATTAATCTGTTTCGCTGACACCAGGAGCTAAAAATCGATTATGCATTTTACCTTACTAAGCAGTATATCAATATTTCCCTCTGTAACTGTGATAGTGGTATCATCCGAAAATGTAGTAAGGTGGCAATCTTTCAGATATTCTGACAAATCATTTGCATACAACAAAAAAGCAACGGTCCAAGCACTGACCCTTGTGGCACTCCAAGCTTAACGTCACTGCACCTTGATTTAACATTTTCACATTTTACAGTCATGGTACGCCCTTTGAGGTGAGGGAAAGTAAGTTGGGTTACTTTTGTGATTAGAAATTCAGGAGACACTGTGTCAAACGCTTTTGTTAGATGAAAAAAATAAAGACATTACAAAATTATTCGAATCCACTTCTTTGTAGATATAATTCAGTAAGTGATATGTTGCAATTTCAATTGATTTACTCTTTCTGAATCGATGTTCATCTTTGCACAGTATATTATTTTCCTCCAAATAATTAGTAATACTGTTTGCAACTATTTTTTCAAATAATTTAGCCAGTGAGCAGAGCAAAGAGATTTGCCTATAATTTTCTACTATCGAGCGATCACCTTTTTTGAAAAGGGGTATTACTAATGCCTTTTTGAATTCTTCGGGAAAGTATCCTTGCAAAAAAGACTGATTAAATAAATAAGACAAAGGGATAATCACTACATTGATTATTTTGAGGGATTTCAACAAATGAATTTAATTTTGATTTGGTGTTTTGTTTTCGTGACTCATCATGAATGTAATTTCGTAATGAAACTATTTGTTACAGATTGTGGAATCTTTTCTGCAAAACCCCCGGAAGAAACGATAGTTATTAAGAAAGAGGTTACCAGTGAAAACACGTCATCAACGTCATGTGAAAAAAAACTTGCCGTTGAAATATTCAGTTCTGGATACTATTCGAATTCATTTGGAGAGGGTAGAATTCATGAGAAAAATGAAGTTTTTTCAAAAAATTTGGATGAAAGAACTGATGGAAAATGTGTTGAAAACAAGACTACAGAAAAATCGCCAGTTCTTCATGAAGTTTGCACAAAATCGTTCATTGGAAGAAGTGATTTGAATAATCATATTGATTCAAAACCATTTCAGTCTAGAATCTGCACAAATTCATTCAATCTATTAGGTAATTTGAAAGTACATGAGAAAATTCGTACTGGCAAAAAGCGATTTCAGTGTAAAATTTGTTCAAAATCATTCAATCGAAGTAGTAGTTTGAAAAATCATGAGAGAATTCATACTGGTGAAAAACCATTTCAATGTAAAATCTGTTCAAAGTCATTCAATCAATGTAGTAGTTTGAAAAATCATTTGTAAAATTTGTTCAAAGTCATTCAAGCAATGTAGTAGTTTGAAAAATCATGAGAGAATTCATACTGGTGAAAAACTATTTCAGTGTAAAATCTGTTCAAAGTCATTCAATTATTGTAGTAATTTGAGAAATCATGAGAGAATTCATACTGGCGAGAAACCATTTCAATGTAATGTTTGCTCAAAGTCATTTAATCAATCTAGTTCTTTGAAAATGCATGAAACGATTCATACAGGCGAAAAACCATTCCAGTGTAAAATTTGTTCAAAGTCATTCAGTCAATGTAGTAGTATGAAAAATCATGAGAGAATTCATACTGGTGAAAAACCATTTCAATGTAAAATCTGTTCAAAGTCATTCAATCAATGTAGTAGTTTGAAAAATCATGAGAGAATTCATTCTAGCGAGAAACCATTTCAATGTAAAGTTTGCTCAATCTCATTTAGTAGATGTAGTTATTTGAAAAGTCACGAAAAAATTCATACTGGCAAAAAACTATTCCAGTGTAAAATTTGTTCAAAGTCATGAAAAGACTCGTACTGGTGAGAAACCATTTCAATGTGAAAATTGCCTAAAGTCATTTAGTCAAGTTAGCAATTTAAAAAAACATGAAAAAATTCATACTGGTGAAAATCCATTCCCATGTGAATTCTGCTTAAAGTCATTCAATCAATTTGGTAATATGAAAATACATGAAAAGATTCATACTGGCAAGAAGCCATTTCAGTGTCAAATTTGCTCTAAATCATTCATTAAACGAGGAAATAATTCAAATATATATTTTTTATATCATGGGCATGGTGTAGCACATTTCTGGGAAACTATCGACTGCACTGCCTTTGTGGTATATATTGAAATATTTTCTCCAAGGTGGTATAGTTGAAAACAGCACAACTAGTTGCTTTGCAGTGAAAGCTGCAGAGTCTCCTGTCGATCACATAGATAGCATCCTCGTAAAGGCTGTTAATACTGACTTATATAGGTTATTGGGCTCAAAATAAATGATTCAATTCCAAAAATTAATAAATTAGAGTCTTGAATAACAACGAAAGATTTTTGAGTTTTACAGCTCACTGGTTTGACAATAGTTTCAAATATCATCACGCAGATTGAAAATGAAATATTTTCCTGAAACACACACCGCAAATAACATAAAAATATGTCTAGAAGAAATCTCAACTTTGACAACGGCAGAAATATGACGAAACCAATCGACGATTCAGTTTTTAAGGGAGTACCTTGTTTCATATATACTCTACAAATTACAATCATAATACTGTATAGTAGGCGATAGTTAAGTTATATTCACTATCAAATCAATATGAATTCAGCACCCTATGTAGAAATTTGGAACAAATAAATATTCATACTGTGGATGTTAAGTAGTCTCAAGATGCATATAGAATATCCCTGGTGTGATTACTTGGACCCCTTTATTGTTAAAAAGTTTGCATTTTCCACCCTACATGAATAACAACGAAAGATTTTTGAGTTTTACAGCTCACTGGTTTGACAATAGTTTCAAATATCATCACGCATATTGAAAATGAAATATTTTCCTGAAACACACACCGCAAATAACATAAAAATATGTCTAGAAGAAATCCCAACTTTGACAACGGCAGAAATATGACGAAACCAATCGACGATTCAGTTTTTAAGGGAGTACCTTGTTTCATATATACTCTACAAATTACAATCAATACTACTTTGAAACATGATACCAGAGTACCTTGTTTCATATATACTCTACAAATTACAATCAATACTACTTTGAAACATGATACCATGGCACATATAATTGTAGAATCGTGACACGCTTCAACTATTCTAATCAAGCTCGGCAAGAACTGAATTTATCAGCCCATCAGCTCGTCTAAGACGTATGTACCAGATGGAATTCCACATACTATATGATATCTCGATGAATTTCGAAAATTGTCTACTGATGAGTGGAAAATACAAGCCATTTGAAATAATGATGAAAACAAAGTAACAATGAAAATAAAAGTGCTGCTGAAAAATTATTTGGAGAGTAGGTTCGATGTGGAACATGAAAAAGTTTATAGCCTGGCTACTTTATAGGCAAAGATGAACCACAGAGTATCGTCTACCACAATATAGAAACAGCAACACACAGGCATTTCTGGCGATGCTACCAAAAATTTGCATCTAGAAAAATAGCAGAGCATCAAGACGGCAAGTCAAGGACAGCTCATGAAGTGCAGCCTTATTGTGCGATACCGGTGATTAAGCGAAATGATGACCCATTTCAGTGGTGGAGCAGCAATAGTTCAAGGTATCCTGAAATGTCCGCATCGCCAAAGTGTATCTTTGTTGTCCCGCAAGTTCCGTTTATAGTGAGCAGCTACCCTCAAAGGCTGGTAATATATATGAAATAAAAAATCTGCCAATCTTTAAGACACAGGCATTGAACTTCTTTTAACTAAAGTTAGAACTGAAATCAAGACTGAGACTAGAACTAGGATGTCTCAATCAGTCTGAAGTTTTACTAGAAATGATATACTTTAATAG